TCACACGACTGGAATCTCAGGCCTAACTGCAGAGTGGCTAGCCCCACCTCTTCCAAGGTGTTCAACTTTGGCATTTTCGCAAAGTCCCACTTTGAACAGGGCAATCAAGGCCTTCCCTTCCCACCCCAGTTGATGGGCGTGCATCATAAAACTGGACCAATACTGTGCTACTGTCCCCTTTCCTTGCCTGAGGTTCAGGAACTCCTGTTCCAACTATGCCTCTTGTGCGGGATTCCTGAATATGTTGTCCAAGAGCTTCAAAATGGCAGGTAAGTTTGTGAGCACGCGGTCATTGGACATCAGGTAAGGGGTAATCTGCTGTCTAGCCCCCCCCCCCCATCCAGAAGCCCCACAATCGTGGCTATTCTTGCTTCATCATCTCTGTATTCTTCCCCTTTAAGCCGTAGGTAATACAAGCAGGAAGCTCGGAAGGAGTCATACTCTGCACTATTCCCATTGAAGCGTGGGGGAGGGGGGACTAGATTTTTTGCAGTTTGTCTACCGGATAAGTCGGAGAGCTGTTTTGCCTGTTTTCCTATCACTCCTTCCGGTCGTGCTAATCTTATCTTTATTATTTTTTTATTGAACTCCTGGCCTTGTTCTTATTCACACAATTTTAATTTCACTTTTACTTTTTACTAAGGAAATTCCCACAACACTAAACGGATGCACACAGTCCATGTTTAAATCATGGAAGGAAAATGTAGGAAAACTGGCCCTGACCCCACCCCCACTAATACTCCTGGCCCATCACCCACAATTCCACCATGCATCCCAAAACATCCAAATAAAGACCTGGCAAGCTAAAGGCCTATATCGCCAAACTGACTTTTATAAAAATGACAATACCCTATCAATACAGGGAATACAGGACAGGTTAGGGGACACTCCAGTATCCCAACTGACCCATCACCAACCACAAGCCTTCTTAATCCAGCAGCAAAAGCAGCAGCCATTAGGCCATTGGCTAATTTTGAAAATCTCCTCCTAACACTGGAGGGACACAGGAAGGGGGTGGTATCTACAATATATAAAATACTACTCCAAGACACTACAGACCCCTTCACCACGATTAAAAACCAATGGCAGCATGACATAGGATACAAAATAAACCCCGCCCAATGGTAAAAAATGTGGTCTAAACCACCATTTAAATCCATCTCAGAGAAAAGAAGAGAACTTACCTTGAAACTTATCTATAGATGGTGCTTGGTGGCGCTGTGGGTTAAACCACAGAGCCTAGGACTTGCCAATCAGAAGGTCGGCGGTTCGAATCCCCGCGACGGGGTGAGCTCCCATTGCTCGGTCCCTGCTCCTGGCAACCTAGCAGTTTGAAAGCACGTCAAAGTGCAAGTAGATAAATAGGTACCGCTCCGGCGGGAAGGTAAACGGCGTTTCCGTGTGCTGCTCTGGTTCGCCAGAAGTGGCTTAGTCATACTGGCCACATGACCCGGAAGCTGCATGCCGGCGCCCTCGGCCAGTAAAGCGAGATGAGCGCCGCAACCCCAGAGTCGGTCACGACTGGACCTAATGGTCAGGGGTCCCTTTACCTTTACCTAATACCACAGAAGTTGGCACTGATACACCCAGGGACCTCATCTAAATGCTGGAGAGGCTACACCTCCATAGGCAAGTACCTCCACATGTGGTGGGAATGCCCCAAAGTTCATTCCTTTTGGATATCAGTGCTGCAGGAAATAACCACAATAACAAAACAGGTAATAGAAGCAACTCCAGAACTAGCCCTATTAAATATTTTCCAGCACAACAACACACATGGATATGACAAGAAACTCTAAGTCACTTATTCTCAGCAGTCAGAAACATTGTAACTAGACACTCCCCTCCCTCAACACATACAAACAAACTGCACTGCAACCAAATGAACACAACCAATCAAGCTCTGGACACCCTAATCTCTTGCAATGCCAATACAAATTAAAAAAATACAAATAAAGGACCTACCCACGAGGTGCTGACACAAACTCTACACTAACATGATGCAATAGAATGAAAGAATATTACCCTCCATCTCCCTCCCGTTTCTTCCCCCCCAATCACATGATGTCTATGACAATAGTGTCTCATACTGAATGTAATCAAACTGTGAAAAAGACTCTATGAATCAAAAATGGATACGCAAGATTATTTTCCTTGTTTATTTGTTTGCTTTGTAACACATCGTTAATAAAAACTAATTTAAAAATAAAAATCCTGACATTTAATTGCAATATGTATATCTCCTCACTTCACTCCTGCCCACCCAATAGAAGTACAACATGGGCAGGCATCCTTTCAGCTTCTCCAGCTGCTAAACCCAGAGGTGGATCTGAAAGAGGAAAAATAGAAAACAAGGGTGAGAACATGGGTGGGGCTATTCATGTTAATTTTTCCCTTGCACAATATGCTAGTTTCTACACAAACACATGCATGTCTATCCTTCATCCATGCAAACATGAAAGAACTGGCAAGGGTTGTGAACTTCCAAGGGCGAGCGAGAGGGGCCTGGAGGGTCAGATTTGGCTCCTGGGTCAGAGGTTCCCCACCCTTGCCTGAATCCAAGAATCCTGGAGAGTTTGGGGCTCTAAGGAGACTTCCAACTGGTCCAGGCTAGTTGAGTGGTCTTGGACCCCCTTTTCCCCAAAAGGGAACAAACTTCTTAAGCTGCTTATTTTTTAAAAAGGGAAGAAAAACCCAAATATCTCTTTGTCACAGCCCAGTGTTACCAATTCTCATATTCCATCCCAAGTGAGTCTTCAAAGCACAAGCATTTATTAGGTTTAAAAATAGCCAAAGAGTAAGGACTGGAGAACAAGTGTGCCCACTGCTCCACATTCCCCTCATTGCTCCCCATTAGCCAAGGAGGAAGACATCTCCCCAAGATCCCCCCCCAAAAAAGTGTTGAGATTGCCAATCTGCCTGGGTGAAAGGCCCAGCTTATTTTTAGCTTGCTTCATGGCACCTTGCCCTGTTTTGGGTACTTCTACAAGCCTTGCAAGTGAGGCTAAGTCCAGAGGCCTTCCCCCTACCCCACCCAACCAATAAATAATATTTCTGTCTCAGGGACTGCTTTGTTTTAACTGCTTGTATGTAAGTTACTCTAGGAGACTTTCTGGCAGAAGAACAGGTAAAAATGCTTTTTAAAAAGAAAGAAAGAAATATGATTCCCCTCTGTAGCTCCTGGTGTCTGGATATGTGGCCTTGCTTTGTCTTTCTTGTACCAGTTTATTTTCCTTTACCCTCTCAGGCTGCCTCTCCAGTGTAGTGATCAGGTGGGATTGCTATGAGGAATTATAAAAAATATGGAGCAAGCCATTTGTGTCAGCAATGAAAGCATTGCGTTGACTGGGTTTGAGCCATTTTGATATGATTTCTGATCAATCCACATCTCTGCATCTCCGTCGTATTTCTCCGCCTGACAGGCACGTATCAGCATTCTAAACACAGGCCAGTTGCTTCATTAGGCATCCAGGGTCATAAAGATAGAAGGTAGCTTTGATGGAGTTTGTTAATCTTTAGATAGATCTTAAGGGCCAGGAAGAGAGTTCACAAGGAGATGGTAAATACTACCTGTCCTTCCTCTCCTGTTTACTGCTGTTTACAACCTCCGGGTTTCCTAAAAACATTCCTCCTTGATTCCTATTTTATTTACTCTGAACTACTATGCATGCTCAAATTAGCTCTTTGTAGTTTTAACTTTAACTTTGTCCCCACGTGGGGTTTTTGAAATGCTCAGAGGAAATCTGATTGGTTCTTATGAACACTGTGTAAAAAGTTCTTTTGTGAATAAAACAACCTGGGCCAAGGGGTGGACAGGATTATTATTGGCACTCCTCCCAGAGTCTTGCTGGTCAAGCCTTGTGTGTATTTTATTAATCAGAGTCCAATCCTTCCTTGCTTTTGGGACGCAACATCCAGGCCTTCTCCTTTTGACCCTTCCCCTTTTCCAACACTCTTTTCAAAAGATCACCTCCCCCACATCTGAGGCCTCCTCCTGCTTGTTTCATGGGGAAACCTGTGGCTCGCCAGATCTCTTGTAAGACTCCATCTCCCATCAGCCCTAACCAGCCTGGCCTTAGAAGCTCATGGACCTGAGCAGCTGAGAGCTAATGGCAGGCAAGATTCTTCTTCCCACTCTTCCTACCTCTGAAATTAAAAGGCAGCTCAGCCAATCACTGCCAGGCTGCACCACTGGCCAGTCCCATAAGCATTGACATCTCCCAGCAGCATACAAAACTTTATTTGAACATTCTGGACTTGATTTTTGATAGCGCTGATAGATTAGTGTTTTCAGTTTGCCTGTTTGTTTTATTGTACTTTATAGACACCCCTTGTCTCTGCTGAGAGATGAGGGGAGATTGTTTTGTATTATGAAAATTGTGTTAATAATACTAATAACAATAACAACAACAACAACAAAAGGCACAGCTTTTGACCACCTGTGATGCTCCATATATTTTAGACTACTGCCTGGGGCTGATGGGGAGATGGGAGTCTCACAATGCCTCTGCAGGCCAAGACTGATGGTTGCTGTACCAGGATGGCAAAGCCTGCTTTGGCACACAGTGCTTGTGGCTTTCAGGAACTTTTCCAATGGTGGACACACTGCTGCCTCAGTTTACTCAGGAGAGCTCTGCAACCCACAGAGCATTTACTGAGTTCCCACTTTGTGGAGCATTCCAAAAATAGTTGCTTAAAGTCCTACTTTTACAAAGGAAAAAAGTGCAGGGTGAAGAATAGAAGAAAAGAGCAGCCTATTTCTAAGGGAGGATCAGGTCCCCGAGAGAAACACTGCCTTCTAGATCTTAAGCTTCTCATGAATGTATTTACAAGGGGAAATGAGAGAGGGAACAAAGCCCACAGTCATCTCTTGCTGCTTCAAAATTCAAGCAGGGATTACCATATTTAATAATATATTTCACCTCAAAAGCAGCTCTCTTTCTGGCACAAAATAAACCGAAAAAACCTACCGACAACATGGAAGGCAGCACGAGAGAGACTTACACATTAGACGATCCAAAGCCAAAGCCTGTAAGGGGTGAGGGGAAATGCAATGTTAAAGGGGTTATTGGATAGGTTATATTACAAAACACATATTAAGGAACGGTGTCAGGATTCCAAGCCAGCCTCAAAGCCACACTGTCACATCAGCACAGTTTCTCTCTGCCCCCTAACCAGTATCCAATCACACCAGTTCTCCATCTAGTGTTTAACTCTAACCTGCAACCAAAGCTCTTCTTTTAATTCATACACAGAGGGAGCTGCCTTCTAAAGAGTCAGACCATTGGTTCCATCTAGCTCAGTACTGTCAACCGTTAGCAGCTTCTTGGGGGTGATTCCCAGCAACTGGGAGCACCTTCCCTCTGACAGCAGAGGTAGAACACAGCCTAATTCCTCCTTGAATTTGTCCAACCCCCTTTTAGAGCCACCCAAGTTAGTGGCTGTAACTACTTCTTGTGAGAGCAAATTTTAATTATGGGCTGTGTGAAGGAGGACTTCCATTTTCCCTGTTCTGAGAAAAAAATCCTCAAAACATCTAAGAACCAGGTGGAGGACAAGGACAAGGGGATGGAAACTCTGCACATGCTCATGAGCAGACTTTGCAAACTCCTACTCAGAAGGTGCAGAGAGCAATAAGCCCGAGAAATGAATGGCGGCGGAAGGTTTCTGGGTTTGGGGGCTTAACATCAGCTTTGGTGTGTTTTGTAAATTGCTAAAAATATTTAAACAATTTATGTACTGCTTAACTGCAGTTGTCTCTAGGTGGTTAAAAAGGCTCTAACCCTCACATAAAGGTTTTAAAAGTATGGTTAAACATATACATTTCTTTCTATTTTCCCACCCCGAAAGGGGATAGAAAGGATGTACGCTGGATACAGTTATGTCCCTCAGTCTCTCCAACAGAGAGCCAGTGTGGTGTAGCCAGTTAAAAGTGTTGGACTAGGGTTTAAATCCACGCTCAGCCACAAAGTTCACTGGGTGTGACCTTGAGCCAGTCATTGCCTCTCAGCCTAACCTACCTCACAGGGTTGTTGTGAGTCGTTGAATGAGGGAGAGAAACCATGTACACCACCCTCAGCAACTTGGAGAGAAAGGTGGGACATAAATGCAATAAAAAATTAAAAAGCAACCCCTGCTCCCCTTTAAGATACGATTAAGCTTGGTTTGCATCTGAAATCCAGCCCCTAACAGTTTATGACTGACCAAGTGCTGAAGCTCCCCACGCTCCCACCTCTCCAAGCTCCCTCCTATTTAGGGTCAAGAACAGCTCATACCTCCTCCTCCACTCGACCCAAAAGCGGAGAAGCCAGTGCCTTGTGTGCCAAAACCCGTAGGCTGCTGAGAGAGTGATCCAAAGGTAGGGGTGTTCTGGCTTGCCAGTGTTCCGAATGACACTGTGTTGACTGTGCCACCAAACCTGTGGAACAGAAAGCAGGAGCAAGCGGTGGGTTAAAGAGGGTGTGGCTTTTAAAAAAGATAAGTGAAGCAAAAAGAGCTAGATGAAGGCAGAAATCCATAATCAGCCAACTTGGGTGCTGTAGATGGCAAGGGAGGCCATGTTGGTACTGCTGCCTGGATTGGTGTTCTGCCCGGACAGGGTCTGCTCAATGGTGGCTCCCTGTTGGTGGAATGCCCTCCTTGGTGAGGTGCATCTGCCTTCCTTTTATTAACAGAGCCACCTGTCTGCCAATCAACTGACATCACAATGACATCAGGCAATGGGGTGCTTTGAAGTCCCCACAATGAGGACTTCAAAGCACTGTATAAGGCTGTTAAATAAAATAGCACAGTGTGTTGTAGTACCACTGATCAGCTGATGGTCAAGGTTTCAATGCACTAAGCAGGGGCTCCCTGGGTTTGGCTCTTTGCAAGCACCAAAGATCAGCTGGCAGCAGCAGCCCCATGGAGCTTGAAGTAAGCTGATAGGCACTGCTTGACTTCCAATCCCAGCTCACTTTGCTATACAGTTCTCCATGGGGAACTCTGTAGTGCAGCCAATCCTAACCAGCTTGGTGATTTGCAATGAAAGCAAGCTTCCCTGGCTTTAAGGTTCCTGACTGCACAATGGCAACTGTCCCTTGCACAGGTGGGTGGGGTTTGGTGAAAATTGTATACAGTGATACCTCTGGTTGCGAACGGGATCTGTTCTGGAGGCCCGTTTGCAACATGAATAGAACATAACCCGCAGTGCCACGTCTGCGCACGCATGGGTTGCAATTCACCGCTTCTGCACATGCGCATGACGTCATTTTGTGCATCTGCACATGCGCGAGCCGCGAAACCCGGAAGTAATCCTTTCTGGTACTTCCCGGTCACCGTGGGATGCAACCTGAAAAAACGTATCATGAAGCAAACGTAACATGAGGTATGACTGTAATTCATTGCTGTTACCTGCCCCAGGACCTTCTGGCAAAGGGTAAATAAGAAATCTGATTAAAGAAATCAATATAATGAAATGTAGTGAAATGAAGGGTGGCTTGCAGAATATTTATTCAAACTAAAAAAGAAAAATGGGGCACCTGGATATCACTGCAACCCCCCCCCCCTCCCAAGACCCTGTTGTTTTGTTGCTGTTGTTGTTGTGGCTTACCCAAATCCTCCAGCATTGGCAGCCGCCGTCCCCTCTCCGAAGACTTTGCCTTCTGTCGAGCCCAGAGGGCTTGCAAAGGCTGGGGCTGAACCGAATGCTGGCACCCCTCCGAACCCGGGGGAGCCCCCAAAAGTGGGAGGGCTGCCGAACACAGGAGCAGCTCCAAAGCCACCTGAGCAAACACAGAGGCAAACAAAGAAAAACAAAGAGAAGGGGACATACACAAGCAAAAGAATAAATAAAAAGTCAAAATAGCAGAGAGAGAGAGAAAGAGAGAGAAAGGCAAGGCAAAAAGAGCAAAGAAAGAAGAAATCAGAGTTAGGACATTTCCCGGTGCAGAAGCCCCACAGACCTGAACTTGTGGGGAAGAGGGGCTTTATTTGTGCTGCAGAAGCAATGGGACCCTGACACACTTTCAAAAGCCCCCATTTCATCCTAGAAAGCATGAAGTCAGTAAATATTTCAAAATACCCTCTGCCCTCCTTTTTTAAGGTGCAACTAAAAAAAAGGAAATTGGGGGGGGGGGGACAATAGTCTGATGAGTCCTCTCTGGTTTTGGCCTCTTGGGCAAAGCAAAGAACGTAGATCAGGCTCAACACCTTTTTGGATGTCAGAACTCAGGATTCTGAACTCTCCCTGTAAGAGACACTCTCTCTCTCTCTCTCTCTGTGTGTGTGTGTGTGTGTGTGTGTGAGAGAGAGAGAGAGAGAGAGAGAGAGAGAGAGAGAGAGAGAGAAAAGCATTGCTTAATTCAAGAGGCAAAAGCGGGAATGGGGTGGGGAAGCAGAAAGGAACAGCTTTAGGCAGAGGCAGGCCTTAGCTAGATTTTTCCTCTTTTTTGTTTAGAGTTGCAATCTATGTCTGCAAAGGAGACGTGAACTATCGGATTTACAGCACTGCATTCCCCCCCAACTTCCCATCTAAGGGGAACCTCGACCTCCTGCTGGCCTTCATTCAAGAGAGTCCGGATGTCCCCGAGAACTGCAAATCGGCAACCATCACCCCCAACTCTCCACTCTCCCCCCCCCCAAGAATGCACCAAAGAGAGAGAGAGACAGCGAGGAAGAGAGAGGGGGGTTTGGGGATGGGAGAGTTTCTCATTAAGAGCTGCCTTCTTTACCCTCCGCACAGCACTTACTGCAAAAGGGATGGCTAGATTCTGCAGGCATGTCCTTAGGAAGAAAAACCTTAGACATGAATTAAAAGAAAAACAGGCCAAGAACTCCCGCTCTAGAGCACCTGCATGAAAAAGCAGCAGTTGCTGCTGCCACCACCAGCAGCAGCTCTCAGCAAAAGATGGGGGAAAGGAGGGGGGAAGCTAGCAGTTGCTAAGGTAGCTGTTTTCTGATGTTGCCAGCAAAACTGCAACCATTTCAGCACAGCGGTGTGTTGCACCCTAGAGACAAGCTAACCACACACCCCTGACCTGTCACAAGCAGACCAGGAGGAAAGCAAGACATTCCCAAGTCTATGATGCCATTTCCTGTCATCCCCACTTTCATTTTAACTGATGCCAAGCTTTATTTATTTATTTATCAGTGTTTGCACATTACTCTTCAGTTCCAGCCCCTGAAAAAGGCTCCTCGAGCAGCCTGTATCTGTGAAATCAACTGAAAACAAGGCTGGCTTACAAGCTTAAAAAAAGACAACACATGACAAACGAGGAAAATGGGACAAGAAGGGAAGAGGAAAAAAGCAAATCTGGGCACCCGTTCTTAAACAGCCATTCTTATAAGGACCAGCTGGCTTGATGGAGCTGGTATTCTGGCAGAGTTGATGGGATGAGCCCTGCTTCCCATCTCTCCTACTGAGGCAGCCTAATGGGAATGACTGGTGACAGCTGAGGAAGGGGGTCTTTATTCCCCACCCCCCAAAAAAGGTTATTTTCTGAGTTGCTTTTCAGGGCCATTCCCTCACAAAGAAACGTACGTAAAAAAGGAAGGATGCGAAGAGACACTAGGTGCATGGGAAATAAAAAGTATTCAAGGTCTGCTTGAAAGTCTGCTTGCAGCTTCTCTCATACAGCCAGTAACATCTTGGCCTTTTCCTAGGAATGCAAAAAAGCCATTGGGCAAGATTCACACTGGGAGTGACATCATCGCACACACCATCTTTTGAGCCTCTCCTGTAAAAACAAACTTATGGCTCACACGGGAAGTGTGTGACACTGAGCCAAGAACTGAACCAATTTGTTTGCCTTCACCTCACCAACATGACAGCAGGTACAGATCTGGCTAGTAGGAAGGAATGTGTGATGGAGCCTTTCTGGTGGTGGCCTCTTCGCCTATGTAACATCCTTCTCTGGGAGAGACATTTGTTTCCACCCCCATTTTCTTTTAGACACTCCTTTTCCAATTCACCTTTGGTTAGGAAGCTGGTGGGGCATTAGAACACCCTCCCTATTGTCAGCATGATGGCATCTGATGACACAGGCTGACTTGACGGTCGGTGGGGATGTGTGCCATTTTTGTGTGTTTATGTTGCTCTTTTTTTAGCTTTTGGAAATTTTCAACTGTATGTGGTTCTGAAGACCAGAGCTGCAATGCTGTTATTTAATTGTGTGACTTTTACTTATTTATCTGCAACCCCCTTCGAATCAGCCTTGGTCCTGAAAAGCAGCATAAAATAATAATATTCTAAAGTAAAGGAGGAAAGCCAAAGAAAGCAGCCCTGTAGGGTCAGACCAAAGGCCCATCATCACAGGGGTGGGTAACATCAGGTCTGGGGGACAAATGTAAGGGCTCCCCTGCCTAGTCCTTGGGACCTTCCCCAGATAACACACATGACCCCACTTTGCACCTTCCTTGGCCAAAATGTGCCCTTGAACTCTGACAATGCCTTTGGCTTGCCTGAATGGAGAACAGCAAGTGGATGTGAGAAGAAATCAGCCTACAGGGACAAATGTCCCTATAAAGGGACAATTTATAATCATTGCTCCGTCCACTATTGCCTCTGGACCTCTCCAGCACTGGCATGGTGGTCCTTGGGCTTAGAAAGTGTCCATACCCCATGCCTATCCAGTCCAAAACCCTGTTTTTGTTAGGATATAGTTCCGTTCCTCCTTAAAAGAGTCAGGCATGATTGCTGTGTGTCACATGCCTGTTTACTCCCTGCACTGTTCTCGCTGGGAACTTCCGTTTTGTATATAGCTTTTGTTCTGGCTGTTTTCCTCGACACGGATGCAAGCAGTCATGTTTTTCCTTTGTTCTGACCTACGTTGAATAAAGCTGTAAATATGCTCTTCTGTCTGAATCTTCCGTTGCGGAGACTGCTGAAAAGGGCGTGCATGAGTCTTGGAATGTGTCTGAGGCTCGTGTCGCTAATTGACTGATGCTGTTTCCACGGGAGACCGGTGATCATCTGGAGATGACGTGTAGGCTACCTGATGCCTCTGCCTCCCTGGCAGTATCCCAACAACAAGGTTATGGGCCCAGATTCACAGCACTTACAGGAGAGTAAGACTGCAAAAGACTGCGAGAGGTATGTGGAAAAGGGAGGCTTTTCTGATGCCGTGGCAGAGATTTTGAAGTCCGGCAGACTAATTAGGCTGGCAGAGAAGAGCCAGAAGGCCTCGTAATTTATGACCTGCCAAAGATAAGGAGTCTTTGAAGGGAATAAGGCTCACGGCTGAAGAGCTGAAATGGAGCTTTTACAAGCCTCAGATGGGGTTCCATACCCAAAGCTTAATGGCCACAACTATCAGACCTGGGCAAGGTACTGTGAGAGCCTGTTGAGACAGTTTGGAGTGTGGCACACTGTGTATGAAGCCCCTCCAGTTCCTCTGACAGATAGATGGAGGGCCGAGGATTCAAGGGCCATAGACGTGATCGTCTTGTCCATCTCTCTGGAGGAAATTGTAACACTGGCTGGCAACACGACAGCAAGTCAGATGTGGAATGCTTTGAAAGTAGCCCATCTGGCAGCCTTCCCAGCACAGAGTTTGACTGTGTCGGAGGGCCTGGCTGTTTCCCAGATTGCGAGTGGTTGCAGGGATGCCGAGGGCACCGGTTGCAAGCTGCAGGGGGAGCTGACTATGACATCATCCCAGGCAGCATTCCAGCCTCCAGAGGGAGCGAAGGAGTCGGCAGCTGAGAGCTCTGTTTCCTGTGAGAACCAAGGTCATCTTCGCAGAAGTCGGAAGGCAAGATGTAAACAGAGACAAAAGCCTGCAGATGGCCAGGAGCAGGGGGGGCAAGCAGCAGCCCAAGCCGGTGGAAAACAAGGTTTTGTTTGCGGGAACTGCTTCTCCAAAGGCCAAAGGCAAATTTGTTGTCGATTCTGGAGCCACAAGGCACGTGTGTAAATCGGCATCTGTTTATCTCCTTCACGCCTCAAGAATGAGAGATCCAACAGGCTGATGGAAAGACGTTGAGAATTGCAGGAGTCGGGACAGTGAAACTGGCAAGTCTGCACTCAACCATCAGCGAAGTACTTTTTGTTCCAGATTCTGCAGACAATTTGCTCAGCGTCCCACAGCTGACTGGGCGTGGCTTTGAGATTTCCTTCAAGAGGAGCGTCTGTGTCATCAGGAAAGGCAAAGAGGACATTTTGCATGCAAAGTTTATAGATGGCTTGTTCTGTATAACTTATGATGACAATACTGTTGATGTGTCTAATGTTGAATCATGTTGTGTTGCACAAACTAACAAAGTTCTTCATGCAGGATGTATTCACGAGGTGCACCAAAGATTTGGTCACATGTCTTGGCAGGCACTGGCCAAGATACCTGGGTTGGTTCAGGGTTTGAATATCAAGCCCTGTAAGTTTCACATGAAATGTGTATCTTGTGCAGAGAACAAGGTGAAGGTTGCTCTGAAAGGCAAGGTGTCTAGCAGACAGGCTTCCAATCCCTATCAGCTAGTCCACGCAGACCTAGTTGGTCCACTTGCGCTCTCTTTGGGTGGAGCAAGGTACTTCATGGTTTTAATTGATTCTTTTTCCAGGTACATTCATGTGTTTATGCTCCAACAGAAGTCAGAAGTGTTTCCTAAGTTCAAGGCATTCTGTGCTTGGTTGGAGAATCCTCACAGTAAACACATTGGCTGTTTGTTTACTGATCGAGGCGGTGAATTCACTTCTCAGCAGTTTGAAGCTTTCCTGACTGAGAAGGCAATCCAACATAGCCTCTCAACTCCTTTTTTTAAAAAAAAATAATTTTTATTAACCATCAAATCAAATCAAATTGCATCACATAAATTCCGAATTACATAGCCGAATTTTAATTTTTTTGTTGGGGGTACCCATATTTCAAGTTCCGAAGGGGATTCCAATCATCTTCTTGCTGCTGCGTTAATATCCACAAATCTGTCCAAATAATGTTCATAATTCTATCCAGTCCTATCTTGCTGTTCCCACATCTCATCTTATTCATATATTTTTCTTTTTTCTTTGTGATCTCTTCTGATAATCTCCTTAAGCAGGTAAACACCAGTTGTAATCCTGTGTGAATTTTTTCGTTCGTCCAATCACCATATCAAGATGGTTTCCATATATCATCACTTCCATAAATAAAAGCACTCTTTCCATCATTAATCTTCGCAAATCTGTCGCCTTCTTTAGTCCTCTGAGGAGGCTCGCCCGCAATATGAAAACAGATCCATTCCTCCTCCCAGACATAAGTCTTTCGACAGAACTTGCCAAAATGGCGACACTGTTTTTTACTGCGTCATCCCAAAGCTCTTATACTTTCCACGATCTCCTCAAAACATGCTTTTGGTTAGAAATTATCTCCACACAGTCTTAAATCATCAGTTTAGGTAATTTAAGTGGCATTTCTGACTAGTGGGGGGGGGATTCTTGGTTAATCACATAGAGAAAAGAAAGGAAAGTCCCCCCCCCCCATCCAGTCCCGTTGCCGACATACCGAGCCTTGGTGTGTCTTCTCATGATATATTCCTGTTTATCCGATCCGTCTTCTTTCTCAGAGATCTCTTCAATTAGCAGTCTTTACTCCCCATTCTTCCTTGAAATATGTGTGTTTGCTTCCTCCTAATTGTTTCTTTTGAAGTTGCTGCAGCTAGAGGTGCGAATCAGAGACAGCGTCCAGGAGAGCCGAAGTCCACACAAGGGCTTTCTGCCTAGTGCCCCCACCCCCTCGGGTTCGGGAGTGGTATAGGGCACACCAGGCAAGGGCAGTCCCCCCCACTCACATGGGGGGGGGCAGGGAGGCTGCATACTCCCATCACAGCCTCTTAATTACCTCGTGTGGGTCGGAGAGATGTTATTGTCGGCCATCTTCCAATGCGCCCCTAGTAACATAGCCTCTCAACTCCTAGATCTCCATGGGAGAATGGACTTTGTGAGCGAGCAAATGAAACTTTGCTGCAAGGCCTAAAAACCTTGTTGCATGATGCCAATCTCCCTGAGAAATATTGGGGCGAAGCTTTATTGTGCTTCCTTTATTCCTATAACAGGAGACTGTCATCACCTATTGGTTGTACTCCCTATGAGAAGATGTTTGGTAAGAAACCTTACGTCAAGCACATGAGAATCTTTGGTTCTGACATGTGGGTCCACACCCCACAGAGCAGCAAGCTTGGGAAGCGTGGGGCACATGGTTTGTTCATGGGGTACGAAAAAGGTGCATACAGGGTATTCATGACTGACTCTAAGTCCATTAGGTTCACAAAGAGTGTTGAGTACAATCCCAAGTGGGGGAGAAATGTGCGAATTTTCCAGAGTCACTCAGAGGAGGAAGAAGACGATGTGAAAGAAGCATATGATGTTGAGGTAGAAGAGGAAGCTGAGGATGATGATCAGAGTTCGGATTCCAGCTCAGTGGGCAGCACTGCTGCTGTTGTCAGTGACAGTGATGACACAGCAGACTACAAGAGCGCAAAGGCCTCAGTCAGACTATCTGATGCGTCTGACACTGAACTGGAAGAACCACTGTTCACCATTGGCCACTTTTCTCCTAAGAAGGAGGAGATGAGTGCAGAAGACTTGCGTCTAGTACGCACATCTGAAAGGGCCACAAAAGGCAAACCTCCAAAGAGATTTGCTGATGAGTTTGCTAAGACAGCAACTGCTGTTCTTAGTAGCTCAGAGAAGGTATGGGAACCTTCAAGCTTCAAAGAGGTTCAAGAGTTGACCTTTAAAGATGCTGAGCCATGGCTTAATGCTATGAAGGCTGAAGTTGATTCCTTGGATAGGAACCAAACCTGGGAGCTAGTCCCAGTAGTCCCAGGAATGAGACTGGTTGGCAGCAAAAGGGTCTTCAAGGCCAAGACAAACCAGACTGGCAAGGTTGTCAGACACAAAGCCAGATTGGTTGCCAGAGGTTTTTCACAGGTACCAGGACAGGATTACCACGAGACCTACTCACTCACCGTCAAGTATGAGAGCATTAGGCTAATGCTCAAGATTGCTGCAGAGGAGAAAGTGCATGTTTCTCATCACGACGTGAACACAGCTTTTTTGTACGCGGCTTTGGGGGAGGAGCTGTATATGCTTCCACCTGATGGAATGCAGATACAGAAGGGAATGGTCCGTAAACTGCAGAAATCCTTATATGGTCTCAAGCAGAGTGCCAGGTGTTGGGACACAAAACTCACTGAGACATTGCTTTCTCTAGGTTTTCACAAAGGCAAAGCTGATCCATGTGTGTTTGTCAAGGAGGAAGGGCAAAACAAACTGTAATGTTTGTGTTTTGTTGATGATCGTCTTCTGTTTTGGAAGAATCAAGCTTTGTACCAAAGCACCCTAGCTCAGCTGAAGGAGCACTTTGACATGAAGGATCTTGGTGAGGTATCCAACTATCTTTCTCTGCAGGTGGAGAGGGACCAAGCAGGTAATTTTCTGGTACACCAAACACAGAAAATTGCTGATGTATTAACCAGGTTGAATTTGGTTGATGCAAACCCAGCAGACACACCGATGGTGACAGGTTACCAGGTAGATAGTACTGCTGAAGCATTTTCTGACACCACACTTTACAGATGCATTCTAGGCAAGCTGAATTTCACTGCTAGATGTTCAAGACCTGACATAGCTGTAAGCACTAACCTGCTTAGCAGACATGCTAACAATCCTACTGTTCAGGATTGGAAAGCTCTGAAGTGCATAGCCCGCTATTTGAAGGGGACTATGCACTACAGGCTGAGGTTCACCCGTCAGAAGACTGGAGGTCTTGAAATCTTTGCAGATGCTAGTTTTGGAAGTGACACCATGGATGGTACAAGCACTTCTGGAGTATGCTACATGTACAACCACTGTCTGTTTTGTGAGATAAGATGGCGCGCGGCACACTTCACCTGTGCCTTTGGACGCTTGTGCCGATAGAAGATGTGAGCTCTTTGAAGCTCTTAGCAGAGTTCTTTAGCAGCGGTAGAAGGTGTTGCCTTGTGTGTGGATAATAAATCAAACTGAACGCAGGCTTCTTGCTAATCTCTAACAGCCTTTAATGAGAAGAAAAACATCATAAATCAGTCTTGGCGAGAGAGCAGACATCCTTCTTGCCTCTCAGCCAAAAACGATAGGAAACTCACACACAAAGAAAGATTCCCGTATGTGAACCAAACCACGCCTCAGAATGTGAGACGTCACACAGAACTGTTTAACCCTGTAAGTTCTGATTCTCCTCACACCCCCTCTCGTCTCGCATCCTGAGGGAAACTGTGAGTATAACTCACCCCAAACACAACCCTTCACAGAACTCTCCATGTCGCTGGAAGGTCAAGGGTTTGGTAAACCCATCAGCTAGGTTCTCCCGGCTCGAACAATACTTGAGCCGTATCCAACCTGCTTGGACACTCTGACATACATTCTGGAAACGTATGTCCAAATGCTTGGTTCTGGACTTGAACTGTCCAGACTCTGCCAACTTAAGACAAGGTTGACTGTCTCCCCAAACAGTTATGGGCAAGTAACAATCCCCAAAGATCTCTTGGATCAAGCACCGGTAGAAGTCCAACTCCCTGCACAAATCCGACAACGCACTGAACTCCGCCTCAGTGGAAGAAAGTGCAATAAGACTTTGCTTCCGGGACTTCCACCCAACCAGGGATTCCCGAACTTTACCACCAGCCCAGACACAGACTTCCTGTCCCCAAGAGATGCCCAATCGCTGTCACTCCAGCACGTAAGCCGTGCGTCACCTTCAGCTGACAATGTGAGGCAAAACTCTTTGGTATCCTGCAAATACCTCAACACTCTCTTGATGCCTTGCCAGGCATTCACACTGGGCTTTGTAGCCTCCCTGCTGAGCAGATTCACAACAAACGCTATGTCTGGTCTGCTCCACTGAGAGAGATACAACAGACTCCCTAGCGCTGACTGAAACACCTCAGGGTTTTGGAACTCAGAACGCTCCGCAAGCTGACTGTCCTTCACGAAGTTGGTCTCCATGGGCGTTCTGACCCCTGCACAGTCAGACATCCGGATCTTCTCAAGCAACTGCTCAATCTTGCCTTTCTGACTGAGCAAAAAACTCCCGTTCTGAGACCCGTCTATCCTAACGCCTAGATAAACCTGAACGGGACCAAGGTTTTTGAGCTTAAACTTCTTACCAAGCTCTTTGGCAAAACCTTGCACCTGTCTACCCTGGGAAGTAGGAGCATACACTTCAGTATAATGCAGCCCCCTTCTCTGCGTGAACCCTCTGGCTACAAGCCTTGCCTTGTACTGTGGTTCTCCAGACGCTGTGGGCTTAATCCTGTAAACCCAACGACAGCTCACAGCCTGCTTGCCCTCTGGCAGCTTCGTGGTGGAGAACACACCTAAGGACCTCACTGAGTTCAACTCCTTTCCCATTGCCTCTTGCCACTTCCTGGCTTCCGCTTCAGGCAACTGTTGAACCTCCTCAAAACTTTCTGGTTCGCGGACTTCCGGAGGTGGCGCCAACGGTAATGGCGGATTCCCTCTAACTCGGAGGGAAGCCGCTCCACAAAAATCGGGTCTGACACCGCTTCGGCGCAGCGGGGACCCTTCAAATCACAGGCGGGTGAAGCCTGTGACCCTGGGACTCGGCGGGCACTGTTTGCGCCCCCCCAATCTGCAAAGGAACCCGGCAAAGGGCTCCGGAACAGAGCGGGGAAGTGGCGCTGTGCTGTGAGTCGTCTGCTTCTTTGTGGAGTGAAGCCGCGTAGCTGTTGCCGGAGAGCGCTGCCTTTCTCCTGGACCAATCGTACTTTAAAATAAACACCCGTGAGTACTTAGAATTTGAACAAATGGGACAGTAAATGAAGATTTGCGAAAAGGACAGAATTGGATTATAAAAAAAAAGGAAAAAAACCTATTGAATTTGGTACGGAGCGGGAAGGGCTAAACAGGAAGTCACCCTTCCGTTCTTTTGTAAATAGAACAAAGCAAAGGCAATTTACACTAGAGCTTAGAAAATCGCTTTTAAAAGAGTGGATTCCAACATTTTAAACTGGGAATATTCTTTGGACTATTTGAAGGAGTAAAAGGAAGTTATTTTCGTCCTGATCCTGGAGCGGGGAAGTCAGGACTGATGTGAATCTATCAAGATAATTGTGTGTGACAGATAGTTAAAAGAAGAAAATTCTTGCGACTTTACTGTTCCCTTTCGCATTTTAAAGGAATATATATGGATAAAGTATTTCAAGTATTTTGGAAATGTAGCAAAAACAAATATAAGTCTTCCCCCTAGGGGAAGCCTTTGAAACTGTAACTAATCCTAAGGACTTGACAGTTGGTACAAAATACCGTGGGAAAGTGTAACAATGTTTTCAGAAGTCTGGGTGAGCCTGCTCTACAAAACAAATACTCTACTGGAAGAATTACATGATAAGGTGAACCGGATGGCTAATTCGACTAGAAATCTTAGACAGGCAGTGGAATGTTTTGACCAGACTGTGGGAATATATGTGGAGTCTATCCAGGACTTAAACCAGGAGTGTGTTTTGACAGAACAGGGGTTTGTGGCATCAAATCAGGAGAGTGTTTTGACAGAACAGACCCAACAGGAGTTTGATCCTTCGGATTGGAAAAAGGAACTTGGAAAAAACCAGATTTGGGAAGGGAAAGTTCGGTGTGGTCTGGAAATGGGGGGCTGGATCGACCCCCCTACGTCGGGATATCTGGACTTCTTAAATACGGTAACAGGCTGCGATATGTTTGGGATTGTGGGGGCCCACAATTATGGAGGGCCCATGAAGTATGCTTTTAAACACTACATGGAATGCAGCGATGAATACGGAAAAGGGTCTGATCTGATGAGAAGGGCTAAAAACACTATTAAGTTGGAGTTACCACGAGCAAGAGACTACAGCCACAAATATGAAGAAGAGCAGCGGAAGGGCCATGGAAGTGACCTGAGGGCCTCGGACATAAGGTCACCGGGTTAGATTGGGGAATAAGGACTGACAAATCCCGGAACCAGGAGGAAGGGACGTTGGATAAAGATTGGACTTGCTTATGTGCTTCTTTTTCTCTTTTTTAACTAATAGAATGTTTTATAAAGTTGATGAATGATAGAAAAATGTTGGAAGAAATTACCTGGCTTTAGTAAAGATGTATAAAGAATTATGAAAGAACATTATGAACACAAGAAGTTGGTAAAGTTAAGACTTAAATTTTAAACTTTAAGGTTTATTTTAATATAGAAAGATAGGATCAAATTAGTTTAGAACTCTTTTTATGCCTTATTTTTTTGAAATATGGAAAGGAAAGGATTTGCTGGGATAATTAATAACTAGAATACAAAGGAAGGGAGGAGGAGGAGGTCTAAGAAAGAAGGTAATGACAATTAAGGACTTGAAAATAATGAACTTGTTTTGTTTTTTTTCTTTATTTTTCCTTTATATTTTCTATTTTCTCATATTTGTACCTTTATTTTTTGTATCTTTATTTTTTACTTTTTGTTTCTGTTTTGTTTTTGTGTAAGTTTTGTATTTTTCAAATTTCAATAAATAAATAAATAAAAAACTTTCTGGTTCGCACTGCGCTAAACCAACCCACACGCTGGTGACCTCAAACCTCTCAGGTGGTACCCCCTTTGTAGTGCGTGTGGAACGTCTGAGCACTGTCTCAGGTGCTCCCTCTGACCCACTGGGGCCAGCTAGTGTGTCCTTGTTATCAGAAGACTCCCCCTCTGACTTACTGCGTCTTCTGGCCTTCTGCACTTTACTAACGGGAGACGAAGGCTCACTTTTGGGATCTCTTTTAACAACCTGTGGAGATGCCCCTCCCTGTTCTTGACCCTGGTCAGAGACCTGGTCCTCATCAATAGGTTCAGCTTCTAACTCTCCCTCCTCAGCAGAATCAGACAGACACTCTGAGAGAACGTCAGGATTCGCATGGATCCTTGACCAACCACTCTGCTCACAGAACTCAGCACTCCTGCTGACTAGAATCCTGGACTGATCGCCTTCTGGATAGGCAAACCTCCACCCTTTTGTCCCAGGCTCTGTACCCACAAAAGATCATTTTCCGGGACCTCGGGTCACCTTTCTTGCATTGAGCCTTTGGCACAAGCACCCAAGCTTCGCAACCAAACACACGGAAGAAATGCACCTTGGGCTTCTTCCGGTGCAGCAGAAAATAGGGCGTGTCTCCTACAAAGCCATTTCCGCCTTCGGAGGAGAGGGGGTTGCGGGCGACCCCCTCCCCCACGCGGGGGCTGGCCTTATGCCCCCGCGAGACTCAGGGAATCCCCGGGCGTGCCTCCGACCTGACCCGCCAATCGGCGGGCCGGGGAGGCGTGGCCTGACCTATTTAAGGCCAGGTACGCCCGGGGACCGCCCTCTTTGCCCCTCGCCACCTGAGCGGATTTTTTGGATATTTTGCAGAGCGGTTCGTGTATTTTGGAAGCCTACCTTCGTCTTGTAATTTTGCGGTGTCACAAGGAGGATCATGGATAGCTTCAGCGGTGCGTGGTAGGATTAGGCCAACACGCGTGTTCCGCAATTGCTGTGGTTTCTCCGGCTGGCGCGGCAGCTTAGGAGCTCAGCTCGCAGCGTCGGCTCTCCTGCAGCTTGGGATTGATATTTCTATTCGGCGCTTCCCTGTCGACGTTGCTTTCGGCGATTCCCTGTTCACGTGATTTTCCTCGGAGGATTCGGTGCTGCACGCCCCACTTTGCTGTAGGAGGAACCTCGGAGTCCCAGGCTTCAGAGTGCGGACAGCCGGAGAATTGAGGTTTGGCCGTGGGGTTCTTGCTGCCTTTATTCGCGGGCTCCCCTGTCCTTGCTGCTTGGGGGGAAGTCTATTTGTTTAACTGGGTATCGTTGTTCCCTTGCTGTGTTCCGGGAATATAGCAAGCTCGTACTTAGCCGGTAGATTGTTTATAGGTTGTCGGGGGCAACCACAGCTTCCGAAGCTGTTGTGGTCGATCACGTGGTGCGGTCTCAGGGCGTCCGCCATTTTAAGTGAGGCATCTAGCGTTCAGCTCAATAGCGAGCGCCATCTTGTTTGGTCCACGTGGTCAGGCTGAGCGGCCATTTTGGGGAGGGCAGGCGCCATCTTGGGAGGGCAGCTTAACCCTCAGATCTATAGCGGGTGCCATCTTGTTTGGTCCACGTGGTCAGGCCCGAGCGGCCATTTTGGAGAGGGCAGGCGCCATCTTAGGAGGGCAGATTTACCCTTCTTTTACCAGCGATCCTCAACAGGCAATACAGCATCAGCGCTTAAAAGCCTTTAACATTGCTTGTCCTCTTTACTTATTTTAATTCTTTTCGGCCCTTGGCTTGGTGTTTGGGGCTGCCGTTTTTGTGCTAGAACTCATAGGGTTGGTGATTGTTTTGCTGGGTTTACGTTCTTCCCTTCCCTGATTTTCTAGCGTTTTTTCTGACCCTTATTGCGAGGCTTCCTTGGGTCACGCGAAAAAGGCAATTGTGATTTCCTGGGCTGCTTATCATTCATAACTGTGTCTGTTTGAAGGCAGAACAAGCATATCGGGCTACGTCTGCTCACACTCTTAATACAGGATTACATTTCCAATAGTAACAATAACCAAAGCAATAAACAGTAAAAATCCTGATAAGGTTTTATTTGTAATTCAGGCTTTAGCTTGATAAATACAATACGCCAGGCATTGTATATTACAACTCATTCGATCCTCCCCCTATCAAACGATTAAATAAATAAATTAAAAATAAATAAATAATAAATAAATAAACAAATAAATAACTACAAATATTTCAAGGGGGAAAATTGTAATTAATACTTGGTATTGATAAACAGGTAAATACAATTGGTATATTGGGAACAGACTTCCAATTAAGCTGAGCCTTGGCAGCAACTTGAGTACAGGAGGTAAATAAATAAATAAATACATAAATAAATAAATTTAAATTCATAAACAAATACATAAACAATAAAGAAAGAATTGAATTAAACAAATAAATATATATCAGAAATAAATAGATAAATACATAAATACTACATATTAAGGCGGGCAACTAGATAAGAATTTATTTACTCCATGGTTCCTGCATAGAGCCTAAAGGTTGTAGACAATACTGAGCTAGTCGGACTCCTGGGCCGTGTGTAATTGCAAGGCAGTGCCATTTTGCTTTGTAAACCACTTAGAGTTCCCTCAGGTTCTGTATATACTTTGTCATGGCTTCAGGAGGAGAACAGCAGGCAACCACCTCGGGCAATCAGCAGGCACCTTGCGCAAATAATGGTAGCGCGCAAGCAGCGGCCATGCCCTCCGACCCGCAGGCCTTCGCTCAATTTTTCCGGGCGTTTGAAACATTCTATAGGCAATGTAGGCCTGGGAATTTAGCTCCCCTCGTCCCCAACCCATCACAGGATGTTATTCCGGATACACCGCCCAGCAATCAAGGGCAGCTAGGAATCCCAGGACCAGCGGGGGCCAGTGCCCAAGCCGAAACGTCCGGTACGGGTCGGCCGAATACCCGTGCCCAAGCGGCCAGTTCTAGGAAGGCCAATCAAGGCACGGGAAAAGGTAAGGCACCGTCAAAAGTTCCTGGCAAGGGTAAGGTCACTTCCAAGGGTGCGAGCTCCAATACTTTCTCACAGGCGGTAGACATACCTAGTGTGTTCCAGGAGCGGCAGCCCCAGCATAACTCTACCGAGGACAGTGAGAATTCCGGCGGGGAGGAAGAGCGCAGGGAACACCAAGTGGCTCAGCCGGTGGCCGAGGCGAATCCGACCATCGTCGAGGTCCAGGGCGGCAAGCGGAAGTGTAAGAAGAAGCACACGTCCGCCAAGAAGAGGAGCAGGCAATCCGAGACGGAAGATGAGACAGGTACGTCATCTTCTGATTCGGACAGCGACTGTCCCATGGATGGTTACTGGGGCTTGGGAGAAGGGAATCACGGGATTCCACTGTGGGCTCACGAAAGGAGGGCCAACTCTCACCGTAAAACGTTTAATGGAGTATTGGACTGGAAGGATGGGGCCCTGGTTGAGGATGTAAAGGTGGCTACCGATCAGTCCACCGATTTTATATTGGGGAATCATTTGTCCCAGAAGAAGAGGAATAAGATCCTCAATGGCGATTACGTAGACATGTTTACCCTGCTCCCTCCAACAAAGCTGTTAGGTAAAGGTGAAAAGAGGCGATCTTCTGGTAAAGGAAGATACCGGACCCCCAGGGCGGAGCGCACGTTCGAAAACTGGCTAGACGGGTACCAAGTTTTCATGGGAGTTGTTTGCGCGGCGTATCCTCGGAGATCCATGGATTTGGTGGCCTATTTAGCTCATGTTAGGCGGGCTCACTCTCTCGCGGGGGAGCATGCCGCGCTAATGTATGACGAGAATTTTCGTAGAAATGCTTCTCTCCTCCCTACCACTCGATGGGACCTAACGGACCCTAACTACTGGGGCGAGGACGTGAACCCGTATATTGAAAAGAAAAACCCGGGATCGACATTGACCAAGGCTGGTAAGACTGAGGTGAAGCGGCGTCGCCTCTGCTGGGAGTTCAACAGGGGTGTATGCTCCAGACCCGCCTGTAAGTATTTACACGAATGTGACAGGTGCTGGGGTAATCACCCCGCCTCTTCGTGCTTTAAGAACAAGCAGCAGCCCTTTCGGGGGGGCAGGGGTACTTCCACAACAACAATAGAGGTGCCCCCGGACCTTCAAACCAGGGACCCGGCAATCGCCAATAACCCGCATCTTGGCCTCGCCTTCTCCCCCGTTCGCTCCACCTTGGGCTTCTTCCGGTGCAGCAGAAAATAGGGCGTGTCTCCTACAACAGAGCTATAGGACCTGTTCAAAGTGAAGCTGGCAGCTTTCCAAGCTTCGACCCAAAAGCTCTGAGGCAAACCAGAGTCAAACAGTAGAGCGTCAGCTGCCTCAGCTAACGTTTTGTTCCTGCGCGCCGCTACGCCATTCTCCTGCGGAGAAAAAGCAACCGTCAACCTGTGACTTATCCCCTTCTGGCGGAAGAAACTCTGCAGAGCAGACCCAGTGAACTCTCCGCCTCGGTCACTCTGAAAGCTCTGCACCTTGGTGGAAAACTAGTTCCACCGCCGCAACCCAGTCTTCGATCAGTTGAGCTGCCTCGCTTTTCCGTTTAAGCGAGAAGATCCAGCCGTTCCTCAAAAAATCATCTGTCAGTGTGAGCGCATACCTGGCTCTGCCCAGACTCGGTACTGGCATGGGTCCACAAAGGTCTGTATGCACTAGCTCAAAAGGCCTGGTGGTTACCCTCTCCGATCTGGGATAACTGCACCTTTTTATCTTTGCTCTTTTGCACGCCCTACAATCCAGAAATTTATCACATGCTTTCATCTTGCAACCCTCAGTGTACTCTGGTAACTTCTGGATATATAACTTCTGCGACATTCTCCTGTGCCACAAGTGAGCACACGAATCATGTGTGGGAACGTTAGCACACTGCGCCTGTGCTGTCTCAGTGTTCCCCTTACCCTCCAGAGGTGTCTCCAGAACAAAGAGGTTGTTCTGACATGCAACATTGACCAGTTGTTTCCCACCCCTGGAAATAGAACAGACATCATTTTCAAAGCAAACCTTATAACCCTCTTTTACAAGAGCAGATACAGATAAAAGACAACACTTCATTCCTGGCACAACGTAGACTTCCAGCTCTGCCTGTAAAAAAGAAACAAACACATTTCCAACAGTGGTCAATTGTCTCTGTGAGCCATCAGCAAGAGTGACTGTTTTCCCAGTTGAAACAGCCCTGCAGTTCCACATTTCCACATCAGGTGATGGCTGGCTCCTGAGTCGATGACCCAATGCAGCATGCTGCCCTCACCGGAGTTGTCCTTCAGCGTTGCCATAGAGGCAGCTAGGTGATAAGAAGAACCGTCCTTCTCACTTCCTCTGTCACGTCCTCCCTTTGCATTCCCACGCTGGCCTCCTCTCCTAGACTGGCTGCCATGGAAACCTGGCTGGCTGCCATGAGGACTTGGCTGACTGCCATGGGAAGTGACCTTGGAGACATCCTGCCCAGCCTCTCTGGCTCTCCTCGGACAGGATCGTCGCAAATGGTCAACAGACCCGCAGACAAAACAATGATGAGTGGAAAAAGCCTGAACTGTGCCTTCTGGCTTGGCCCCCCCTCTGTTGCCGGCAGGGCACCCTGCGCCAGCTCGGCCCTCTTTGAGACAGCGTTCCTCCTCGTCACAGAAACGACCAGTCACATATTGCAGCGTAAGATCCGCTTGCAACAGTCTCAGCTTGTTGAAAACAGAGAGCACCTTAGTCACATGCTGTCTGATGCTATCACCAGGACGCAGCTTCAGCTCAAACAAGCTTCTGGTGGTGTGGATCTTTGCCCCAGCTGTGGTCCTGTGGTGCACTCTCTCTAGTGCCTGATAGACCTCCTGGGCAGTCTCAAGACCCTCCACCAAAGGTAGCTGTGAGCCCTCCAAACTGAGCACAATAGCTCCTAGGGCTTTCTGGTCTTTCCTCTGTGAGGCTTGGGCAGCTGCAACAACCGCTGCAGCTTGCTGTGGGGGCCCTCGGGTCGCCTCCCACAGACCCTTGGCTACCAGCCAGGCCTTCAGCTTCCTTGACCACTCCTCCCAGTTGCTCCCATTCAGCTTTGCAAAAGGGACTGAGTATGACACCTGGCCATCTGCCATCTTCTCCCCCGGGGCTGAGCCTACTCACGTAAACAGCAGCTCCTCTCGGCACCCGGTCCTGAAGATGAGATTGATCCTCCCCAGCAAGCCTCCCTGCCTCAAACGTTAGGCAGGGGCTCCAGCTGGCTTCTCCCACACACACAGGCACGATGTGGCAACAGCTTCCAAAGCTTGGCTAGCTTCCATAACCTGTGAGATAAGATGGCGTCCAGCACACTTCCCCTGTGCCTTTGGACGCTTGTGCCGACAGAAGACGTGAGCTCTTTGAAGCTCTTAGCAGAGTTCTTTAGCAGCGGTAGAAGGTGTTGCCTTGTGTGTGGATAATAAATCAAACTGAACGCAGGCTTCTTGTTAATCTCGAACAGCCTTTAATGAGAAGAAAAACATCATAAATCAGTCCTGGCGAGAGAGCAGACATCCTTCTCGCCTCTCAGCCAAAAACGAAAGGAAACTCACACACAAAGAAAGATTCCCATATGTGAACCAAAACACGCCTCAGAATGTGAGACGTCACACAGAACTGTTTAACCCTGTAAGTTCTGATTCTCCTCACATGTTTGACTGGCTGTGCAGGAAACAGACGACAGTAAGCCTAAGTTCCTGTGAAGCAGAACTTAATTGCTCTGTCATTTTCACTCATGGATTGTGAATGGTTGATGCAAATATTTCAGGACATCAGAGTTTCTGTGAAATGTCCTATACAAGTGTATCAAGACAATAGATCCTGTTTGGCTTTGCTGAACTCAGAGAGTTGCAAGCAAAGAACCAAATACTTGCAGATTAAGTTACATCGTGCAAGAGAGTGTATTCCGAAAGGACTCATTCAGGTGTCCTACATGCCAGGAAATGAAATTCCTGCTGATCTGTTGTCTAAGGTTGTTAACAGAGAACAACTTAAGGTTTATGTACAGAGGTTGCAATTGGGTTGAACCACAGGTACTACAGGTTACACGGAAAGGGGGAGGATGTTAGGATATAGTTCCGTTCCTCCTTAAAAGAGTCAGGCATGATTGTTGTGTGTCACATGCCTGTTTACTCCCTGCACTGTTCTCGCTGGGAACTTCCGTTTTGTATATAGCTTTTGTTCTGGCTGTTTTCCTCGACACGGATGCAAGCAGTCATGTTTTTCCTTTGTTCTGACCTACGTTGAATAAAGCTGTAAATATGCTCTTCTGTCTGAATCTTCCGTTGCGGAGACTGCTGAAAAGGGCGTGCATGAGTCTTGGAATGTGTCTGAGGCTCGTGTTGCTAATTGACTGATGCTGTTTCCACGGGAGACCGGTGATCATCCAGAGACGACGTGGAGGCCTGATGCCTCTGTCTCCCTGGCAGTATCCCAACAGTTTTCCCACATAGTGGGCTGCCAAATGCATCCTGGAGGCCCATAAGTAGGATGTGAAAACCAAAGCCCACTCCTCCATTGTCTGGCCCCTAGCATGCTAACAACTGTGGACAAACTTTGCCCTCCTTCATGTATTTCTCTACTGCCCGTTAAAGACCACAAAGACAGCTCGTGGCAGAAAATTCCACACATTAAATTCTGCATTGTCCAAAGAAGTAATTTCTTTAGTCTGTCCTGAATCCCTAACCCTAACCCTAACAACTTGAGTTTGAGTAATATAGAAAAAGGAAGTGGGGAATCCTATATCCCCCCTCCTCCTCCACACCATGAATAATTTGATACACCTCTATTGTACCTATGTATCAAGTGTGGGTATGATGGAACAGTGGTGAGGAACCAGTGGCCCTTCAGACATGGCTGGACAACAACTCCCATCATTCCTGACCACTGTGCCCTGCTGGCTGGGGCTGATGGAAGCTGGAGTCCAATGACATCTGGAGGGCCACAGGTTTCCCATCCTTGGGATAGAAGCTGGGGGGGAGCGAATTCAATTTTTTAAAAGCAACACCCAACCCCTAAGTTCCCTCTTAGGAAAGGTGCCACTTATGATAATTCTGGCTGACCTTCTCTTCCTTCTTTGACCTAAAAAAACCACATCTGCACACTGGCTCTGTTCACAGGTCATGCATGACAAGTCAGGACAAGTTGTTGCCTTATTGGGAACAAGGGGCATGCTTCTGCAGAGTTGTCTGATCACTCCTCACTTTGCTCTTACCCTGGCATGAGACAAGAGAAATAAGTCAGGAAGCCACAACTAAGTCTGGCTTCCGGTAACATCCAAAGCTGAGGCTGGAATTTGCTTTTCCCAAACAAGGTAGGATTTGAAAGCAAACGAAGAACCATGATTGAAGGCTGTGGCTTGTGATTCTGACTTGCCAGGGAAAAACAAACCACACTTGCGTTTGTCATAAGAAGGCAAGCTTAACTGTGCCCTCTCGGTATGCTTCTCCTGCTTGCACCAGAGGGAGCAGCCAAGTGAGAGCAACCAGGCTGGGCAGGTTTCACTTCCTGCTAAACCATGGTTTACTGGAACACACAAGCATCACCTGCATTTCAACTGAGGCTGCCCTGCAGATGTACATAGAGGAATCATGATACCGGCTAATCTTATTTTCTGTCTGTTTGCCAACAAATAAAAAATAAAAAATATATATCCCTGGCATGGAATTAACTCCCCTCCCCCAGTCTTCTATGCAGCTCAGTTTTTACTGTTTTACGTGGACACTTTTCAACGCACACTTCCATCTGATTAACAGGCTGCCTGTCCGCTACAAGAAATGACTACCAATATAGCTCCTTGCTGTTTTTGACTGGAGGTGCATTTTAATACCCTGGGTGAAATTCCAGTCTGACCAATGTAACAGATACTACCCGGTTGTAAACACAACTGTCGGGGGGGGGAGGGGGAGAGAGAGCTGCAGCTAAATTATTTAGCAGAGATTAGAGATCCAGTGACACTTTTGTCCATGAGCCATTGGGTTTTACCTATGTCCTCCAAGTTTCGTGGGAACCAATGCATGTATTGCAAGTTAAGAACATAAGAAGAGCCTGGTTGCTGCACCAGGGCATAAGTCTAGCTGGCCCAATATCCTATTCTCACTGTGGCCGACCAGATGCCCCAGTGAGAAGCTTGCAAGCAAGACTTGAGTGCAGCACTGCTCTCCCCTCTTGCAATTCTCAGCAACTAGTATTCAGAGTCAAGCTGCCTCTGATAGGTCTATATATCATTTTCTACCGTAAGGGGACCTGCGGCATGCAAAGCAGGTGCTCAACCATTGAGCTGTGCTCACTTCCTTTCTGCCATCCACCAGTACCAGTGGCACAGGGAACCAGCACCTGACCTACAGAGCTCCTGGTCTGAGCTGCAGAGCACCCTGATATGAATTTAAGAAGAGCCTGGGTGCTGGATCAGGCCAAAGGCCCATCTAAACCCACCATCCTGTTCTCACAGTGGTCAACCAGATGCCCCAAAAGGAAGCCTGAAAGCAGGACATAAGCACAACTGTTAAAAGTCACAACATACAAAGGTCACCCATCCTTTTGGAGCCTGTGGGAATACTGATATAGTATTGAGGGCACCATCCTCTATGGTTGCTTCTCCCCACCCTCCTCTTGGGTCAGTTCACTACATATCTAGAGAAAGATGTGATCTACAATTTGATGACAACAGTGGTGGGGAAAGACCCATAAAAAGAAGAAGACCTGTTTTATCGTAATCAACACTTGTATACATGGTTGCCTCCTCCCTCCCTCTGTGCATGTGTCTGTCTCCACTTTCTTCCCTGACTCCTGCAGCACCTCGCTTTCTCTCCCCTCACTGCCTCTCAGTTGTTCTCTTTTCCTCCCAACACGCTCTGGAATTGAAGGAATGGGTTTCTGTGCAGTCAGTTTGAAACGGGATCCCAAACCCCCCTTTTCTTCTTTCTCCAAGGGAGCATTTCTAAAATGCATTTCTAAAATGCTGTTGAGCAAATGCATAACAAGAACACAGCTGTATAAACAAAGCTCTCTCCTTTATCAGTCACGGCAAAGGATGACCTTGGCTGTTCCAGTGGAGTAGGGATGGCACGTCTGGGTCTTATCTTACATTCTGAACACACTCTGACGTGCAGACCTAGTCCGGGAAGAGCGCCAGAGTGTGTTCTTGGAGTTGGCGACCTCTTGCTCCAAGGTAAGAGTATAGGAACAGGAATACCCTTTTATGGTCAGAGGTACAGGAAGGAAAACCCTTTTATCGTTAAGAGTACCGGAGCAGGAACACCTGTGATGTCAACCTGCGTGTACAAGCTAACATGACTGGATTCCTGGGGAAGGGGGGAGAGGGTGCCTGGAGGATATATATACTGCATGAAAACTCTCATTTCTTTGGACTTCCTGTGGACTGACCACGCAAGTGCCTTTCTGCTGCTCTGGAGAGCAGAAATAAAGAACTCTTTCTCTGAACCAACCCTCGGTGTCATTTGACTTCCTTCCTCCCGTCCGGAAGCAACGCAGAGCCCACCAATCGGTAAAGTCTAATAAGGCTACAGAATCACACCCTTTGCACCTCCTGGCTGCACAGTTTTCTGTTTGGCTGCCAATCTGAGCCTTGAAAAGAAGAAAGAAGTAAAAAGTGGAAGGGAGAACACAAGAACATCAGAAGTGTCTGGCTGCTGTATCAGGCAAGTGGCTCATCTTGACCTGTACCAGGTTCCCACAAGGCCCAACCGGAAGCCACAAGGGAAAACCCACAAGAAAACTCAAAGCCAATGTCCCCTACGTGATGATGTGTAAGTTGGCCTAGAACACAAGATCTGATGTAACTGTTGTTCAAAAGGCAGGAGGATCTTCCCCATGCTAGAAGAACGAGTTCTCCCCATTTCTCCCCATAGTGGGGAAAGCTTGGTTGTAGAGCATCCACTCTACATGCAGAAGGTCCCAGGTTCAATCCCTAGCATCTCTAGGTAGAGCTGGGAATGTCCCCTGCCTGAAACCCTGGGAGAAGGGCCATTTCTGCCAGTCAGCACTGACACTACTGGGGCAGATGAACCAAAGGGTCTGACTTGGCGGAAGGCAGCTTCCTATGTCCACAATAAGAAACAATAGACAAACTAACACCTGCTTTAGTCGGGCTGGAGAACCCAAAGCCTTGAGATGCCACGCTCCCTCCACCAGAACTGAATGTGCCCATTGGCTTCTGCTCGCCAAAGGAGGTGGTGGTGCCAAATCCAAAGGTCTTGGCACCACTGTTTCCAAAAAGGCTTGACGTATCTGGGGCAGGGAGAAACGAGAGTCTTTTCTTACATACCAGAAAAAGGCCCACCTCCCCCCAAAAGTGCCCAAAGCCCAATGGGGGGGGGAGAGACACAATGAGGATCAGGGGTTTAAGATGGCACATGTCACCGCTTGCCTATGGTGAGAAAGAATCGGCACCAGATGAACAGCATCTTTTCTGGAAATGGAAATACTTTTTTTTCCTTTTTCATTTAACTTCAGGACCATTAGACTTATTATCTGAACTGCTACTGCTGCTATACCACATGCACACACATATACACTCCTCCCTGAGAAGATTGGATGGAATTCTCTTCCTGGTCAAATAGGCTAGACACACTAGGTTGTTTTTCCTCCCCTAGGCACTATTTGGCTTTCTAGGCTCGCTCAAGCCATCTGCTTTTCAGAAGAGGTTGACCATCTGAACCAGCAACAACCAGTCTGGAATCAAAGAAGTGATGCCTGCAGGGGGATGGGGGGCTTTGTATCAAACTGCCCATCTTAAAATGTGAATACTGAGCGTCATGACACCACAGAAAAGGGCGGGGTGGCCCCTCTATGAAGAGCAGGAGAAAAGATTTTAAATAACAACCATCTATTGATAGCCACCAATGAAAAAATTACCACCTTATCATGGATGCCAGGAATCAAAGTCACATGTAATAAGCAGCAAAATATTATAACAGAGAAATACAGTAAGCATGCAACTTACATGGGGGTTACATTCTGGGGATCTTCCCTAAAGCTAAGGGCTGATGGGAGTTGCAGCCCCATAGGCTTCCAGCCTGTTGGGTTAAGGCTGTAATTCAAACCACTTTTCCACCAGGTTGGAGTTTCTGCTGGTCTCTTCTCATTCCGCCTGCCAAAAGTGTGGGCAGGCAGGAAGTAGGCTAGATACTGGAACCCCTGCCAGCAGCAGTCCACAGGAAGCCCTGAAGCAGAGGGTTCTGGGAGCAGCCCCACTGCTATCACTTGAAGGCCCAATTGGGCCTGTATCCCTGATGGGTTGAGCAAAAGGGCTACAGATGCAGCTCCACCATTCTGGATTCAGGACATCACTGCTACTTGTTCCTGCATTTTCAGCAAAACAGTGAGACAGATGCACTATAATGTGCACAAAGAGAAGGTATAAAGCCTGTCTTCTCAAAGTGCCTCTACATCCATGTCCAGTTATGGCTCACAGAAGTGAAAGCCTCACTGATCTTCAGAATCAGAATCCTCTTTCAAACCCCAGGGCCCAGGAAAGTTCAAAAGAGTACTAGTGTTGTGAGTGTGGAAACTTCTCTTTACCACTCAACGATAAGGCACATGTATATGTTCCAAGACCTCTTTGTCCTTAGATTTAGGGGACTGGGCTCAAGACTGCAGCTTCTTTCTGAACCCAGCCCCCTTTATTAATTGTGTGTATGTGTATGTGTGTGTGTGTGTGTGTGTGAGAGAGAGCGAGAGAGAGAGAGAGAGAGAGAGAGAGAGTATGGATTATTCACTACATTAATTTGGATTAGAAAACTTATCAGAGTAACACTATTATTATTATTATTAATAATAATAATAATAATAATAATAATGATAATAATTTGTAAGAATATTAACAAACCATCAACTCATAAGAAAAATATCTTGGTGGTGTACAAATTAATTACATTATACAATCAGGGGTGCTGACTTGCCCCTCGCATTGAGGGGGTGTGGCGGTGCGTGACATTATACGCCCCTCTGCACAACGTGCCCCTGCCCGCCTGGCGGCAGCAGGGTATAGAGTGTGCAAAGGGCAATTTCCTCTCTCCACACATCCCGGCTCCACCCAGCACATGAGTGCTCTCCCGGTGATGGCAGGTGTCAGGGAATGGCGGCCTGCTCAATATTGGCGGAGCTCAGCCCCCTGCCCACAAATACTGAGGGGACTGAAGTCCTTTCCGCCCCCTATAGTTGGCTGATCATAATACAGAAAAGAATGACCGCTGCTGAATCAAATTAATGCTCTAAAAGTGCTTAGTGGCAGAAAAGCATTTTCAGCAGGTGACAAAATGTCAAAACAGTAGGTACTCATCTCATTTCAATAGGAACAAGGTTCCAAAATACTGGCGCCACTACATTAAAAAGCCTTAGTATGCATTGGAGCTAAATCAGGGAGGGGAACCTTTTTCAGACCAAGGGCAACTTTCCCTTCCGGACAACCTTCCTGGGGCCACATGCCAGGGTGGGCAGGGCCAGTGGCAAATGTGAGTGGAGCAACGAATGGCAATTCTGCCTTTGTACAGTAGGTTAGTTTCTACACACCTTCACATACACAGACCCCTCTCTATCCTCCATCAGGGCAAGCAAGAGGCGTGATCAGAGTTCAAGGACACATTGCAGCCAGGCAAACACACTCAAGGAGGGTGTGAAGTAGGGTTGGTGTGGGGTGGGGCCTTGGGAGAGTTAAGAGTGCCGAGGGTTGTTAAGTGACCCTTCTTCCCCTCCTGGAGTGGTTATTACAATCAATCTTTCTTCCCAGGGAACTCTGGGAACTGTAGCTCTGTGAGGTGGGACAGCAGTCTCCTAACAACTCTCAGCACCCTGAACAAACTACAGTTCCCAGAATTCTTTGGGGGAAGCCATGACTGTTCAAAGTGGGACCATAGTGCTTTAAGTGTATGGTGAGAATGGGGCCTTTAGCAAAACAGAAATGAAAACACAACTTAACACAAAAGTTAAAACACCTCTAAAAGTCCTGACAAGACCTATCTCACATCTAGCAGGAGAGGGGCCCAGAGAAGGGCCTCCGGTGCAGAAATTTAATACAAAAGCAGGTTTGTGTGTAAAGAGACACCTAAATGGTACATGGGTCCTAAGCTGCTTATAGGGACACTAAAGTGAGCCCATGTGAACCAAGATTTGAAATCACAAACCCAGGAGCTCTGTAACTAATGGTTGGCTGCCAAGGAGACTTGATCTCCCCACCTCCATCACTTCCAAAATCAATTGCCATTTTCACCCTGGGCTTTGTTGCTATTGTGAAAGCCAAAAGATTCTGGTTGGCCTAGAAGAGGGGTCAGCAAACTTCTTCCGCAGGGGGCCGGTCCACTGTCCCTCAGACCTTGTGGGGGGCCGGACTATATTTTTTTTGGGGGGGGGAATATGCCTTGCCATGGCAAAGGGGCTTGAATAACTCAGAGAAGCTATGAGCTATGCCAAGCAGGGCACCCAAGATGAACAGGTCATAGTGGAGAGTTTTGACCAAACGTGATCCACCTGGAGGAGGAACCAGCAAGCCACTGCAGTATCCCTGCCAAGAAAACTCCATGGACAAAGACAACAGGCATATAAAAGTTATGACGCTGGAAGATGAGCCCCTCAGGTTGGAAGGCGTCCAACATGCTACTGAGGAAGAGCGGAGGACAAGTACAAGTAGATCCAGAGCTGATGAAGCGGCTGGGCCAAAGCCGAAAGGACGCTCAGTTGCAGATATGCCTGGAAGCGAAAGGAAAGTCCAATGCTGTAAAGAAAAATATTGCATAGGAACCTGGAATGTAAGAACCATGAACCTTGGTAAGCAGGATGTGGTCAAAAATGAGATGGCAAGAATAAATATTGACATCCTGGGCATCAGTAAACTAAAATGGACGGGAATGGGCAAATTCAGTTCGGATGACCATCATATCTACTACTGTGGGCAAGAATCCTGTAAAAGAAATGGAGTGGCCCTCATAGTCAACAAAAGAGTGGCGAAAGCTGTACTGGGATGCAATCTCAAAAATGATAGAATGACCTCGATACGAATCCAAGGCAGACCTTTTAACATCACAGTAATCCAAGTTTATGCACCAACCACTGGTGCTGAAGAAACTGAAATTGACCAATTCTATGAAGACTTACAACACCTTCTAGAAATGACACCAAAGAAGGATGTTCTTCTCATTATAGGGGATTGGAATGCTAAAGAGATGACTCTACACATGGACATCACCAGATGGGCAGCATCGAAATCAGATTGATTATATTCTCTGCAGCCAAAGATGGAGAAGCTGTATACCAGTGGTGTCTAAATCAAATCCCTTATGAATACACAAATCTAAATCAAATCCCTTATGAATACACAGTGGAAGTGAGGAACAGGTGTAAGGATTCAGATTTGGTGGACAGAGTGCCTGAAGAACTATGGATGGAGGCTCGTAACATTATACAGAAGGCAGCAACGAAAACCATCCCAATGAAAAGGAAATGCAAGAAAGCAAAGTGGCTATCTAATGAGACCTTACAAATAGCGGGAGAGAGAAGGCAAGCAAAATGTGACGGAGATAGTGAAAGATACAGGAAATTGAATGCAGATTTCCAAAAAATAGCAAGGAGACACAAGAAGGCCTTCTTAAACGAGCAATGCAAAGAAATAGAGGAAAACAATAGAATGGGAAAAACCAGAGATCTGTTCAAGAAAATTAGAGATATGAAAGGAACATTTCGTACAAAGATTACCATAATAAAGGACAAAAGTGGTAAGGACCTAACAGAAGCAGAAGACTTCAAGAAGAGGTGACACGAATACACAGAGGAACTATACCAGAAAGAAATGGATGTCTTGTACACCCCAGGTAGTGTGGTTACTGACCTTGAGTCAGACATCCTGGAGAGTGAAGTCAAATGGGCCTAGAAAGCGCTGCTAATAACAAGGCCAGTGGAAGTGATGACATTCCAGCTGAACTGGGACATTCCAGCTGAAATGGGAGTGCCTGATCACCTCATCTGTCTCCTGAGAAATCTCTATGTGGGACAAGAAGCTACAGTTAGAACTGGATATGGAACAACTGATTGGTTCAAAATTGGGAAAGGAGTACGACAAGGCTGTATATTGTCTCCCTCCTTATTTAACTTATATGCAGAATTCATCATGCGAAAGGCTGGACTGGATGAATCCCAAGTCGGAATTAAGATTGCCGGAAGAAATATCAACAACCTCAGATATGCAGATGACACAACCTTGATGGCAGAAAGTGAGAAGAAATTAAGCATTAACCTTATAATGAGGGTGAAAGAGGAGAGCACAAAATATGGTCTGAAGCTCAACATCAAAAAAAGAAGATCATGGCCACTGGGCCATAGAAGGGGAAGAAATAGAGGCAGTGAGAGATTTTACTTTCTTGGGCTCCATGATCACTGCAAATGGTGACAGCAGTCACGAAATTAAAAGACGCCTGCTTCTTGGGAGAAAAGCAATGACAAACCTAGACAGCATCTTAAAAAGCAGACATCACCTTGCTAACAAAGGTCTGTATAATTAAAGCCATGGTTTTCCCAGTAGTGATGTATGGAAGTGAGAGCTGGACCATAAAGAAGGCTGATCGCTGAGGAATTTATGCTTTTGAATTATGGTGCTGGAGGAGACTCTAGTGAGTCCCATGGACTGCCAGAAGATCAAACCTATCCATTCTTAAGGAAATCAGCCCTGAGTGCTCACTGGAAGGACAGATCGTGAAGCTGAGGCTCCAATACTTTGGCCACCTCATGAGAAGAGAAGACTCCCTGGAAAAGACCCTGATGTTGGGAAAGATTGAGGGCACAAGGAGAAGGGGACGACAGAGAACGAGATGGTTGGACAGTGTTCTTGAAGCTACGAACATGAGTTTGACCAAACTGCGGGAGGCAGTGGAAGACAGGAGTGCCTGGTGTGCTCTGGTCCATGGGGTCACGAAGAGCTGGACACGACTAAATGACTAAACAACAAGAACAAATGATGCAAGAGCACCACGAGCCCCAGTGACTGCTTACCTGTGTCTTGCGAGCTGCAGAGGCTGGCAGCAGTGGAGGGATGATGAGCGGTGTGCGAAAGGGCTCTGGAGAGGGGCTGCTTAAAATGGCAGCCACTCAAGTGCTGCTGCTCCTGGCACCAACAAAGCCCAGCCCCCTTCCTCCTCTAGGCAGGGCAGGGAGAAGCCAGGAGGAGGCGCTGCCGCCGCCATGTGAAGGAGAGGGAAATAACGTGCGAGCTGGCGATCCAAGCGGTGATTCCTGGACCGTCCGCGGGCCGGATCCAGAAGGCAATTGGGCCTGATCCGGCCCGCAGACCTTAGTTTGCCGACCCATGGCCTAGAAATTAGGTCCCTGGTCCACACCAATTGATCACTTGCTTCCTTGCTTCCACTGTCAATGCAAACAGATTCAATTCATAAAGTGCTCCAATGAAGGGGAAGTTCTACACGGGGGGATAGGTCATTCACATAAGGTGATGACACATAGGTGATGCAGGTCTTCCAGCATTTGGGGGGGAGAACACCCTGTGTGAATCAGCCAGTTCTGAGGAACAAAGATGGACTGGCTATGACACTGAACACACAAGACTTGGCAGTACTTACTCCGGGTGGCCGAGGAACCAAATCCCCCACCGGTGGCGCTGAAAGGGTTCTTATCTGCTGCCTCATGGCTTGGCTTTCCTTCTAGGCCACTGAAAAAACTCCTGCCGCTGCTTCCAGACCCAAAGAGACCCCCGCCAGAAGAAGTCTGCTGTAAGGAGGAACAAAAAGTGGGGGAGAACTATTTTCACTGGCTCGCAGGTGCTGGCTCGCAGGTACACAGGGGCCAGCTTCCATGAGGACTAGAAGCATTCCTTAAGCAACCCTGCAGACTTGGGCTAGGATCCAAAAAGTGTTAGTGGGCTGGCAAATTCTCCAACTCTATATTTATTTTAGATACAGTGGTACCTCTAGTTGCGGACATGACCCGTTTCAGGGTGCCATTCGCACCCTGTAAAGTCCGCAACTAGGACTTCCGGTCGAGCCACGGACCCGACGCAAGCAGGACTCTCTCAGGAGAGAGAAAGTCCGGGTTCTCGAGGGTAAAAGGGGGTGCTACAGGGCGTGGTAGCCCCCCACAACCCCTCTGGAGGGAAACCAGAGGATCAGGAGCCCAGCAGAGCCATTTGCAGATCGCCAGGTCGTCAGGTAACTCCGTAACAGGAGCGAAGAGAACGGCGGGCGGAGAAAGCAGGCACAGGGGAAGCCATTGTCTCACCCTCGAGAACGCAGCCCCAGGCTTGCAGGGCGAGTGATCGATTCTCAAAAACAAAGGATCAAAGCCAGACTGGGAGTTTGGAATTACAATCGGAATTACAAAAGGATGGCTTTGGAAAAAGAAGTTGAAAAAAAGAGGTCAGCTTTCATCTGAAATCGGAGAACGACACAAGAATAAGAGCAGAGCGTGGAGAGGAGGTTGGTAACGCAGCAAGCGGCTAGAACTTCTCCCTCGTAAAAAACTTGCTAAAAGTCATATAAACTGTTGCTAAAAGTAACAAAGAGTTGTATAAGAAGGGAATAGTTAAAGGAGGGAGCAGAGGGCAACTATTTTAGGACTTTAAAAGGCCCTCGATACAACGAAGGGTCTGAAAGAAGCAAAAAGAAAGGACCTTCCCGGTACTTTCACTTTTAAAAAAACAACTGCGCAACAAAGTAGAACTTTTGTGCCTCCATTTTAATGGAAAGACAGAGCTAACCAGCTATAAGTAAAACACAGGAAGCTAATATTAGGCAGCATAATTCATTGTCCCACTATCTTTTACCTCTGCTTTCAAATAAATTTAACTGTTTAAACTGTTTAAACACAACAGAAAGGATTGTATATGAAAGAAGACTTCACCTTCGCAACTGGTTCCTTTTCTTCTTTTTCTCTCTCTCTCTTTTTTTATGTTTATCCGTGGAATGAAATGAGAAAGAGCTGCCTAACAGGCTGCATGAAGGGCATGATTATTATTTGGAGCTTTGTGAACTGTGACTTGAACTAATAAACTACTCCCTGTTATTATTATTATTATTATTATTTACTTGTCATCTTTATCTTTATCTTAATAAGGGAACAGTCTGGATTAATAAAAAACTACTTTGTTTTCTTCCTCCTTCTATGAACTTTGTTTAACTGAGCTTAAATTTGACACTCTCAACTACAGATCCCTTAGCAACTCCTGAGTTGCTTTATGGATAGAACCTTCCGGACATCTCCCTTATTCACTCTTTTTGGATATATTGGGCATTTTTGGACCTATTTATTCCCTTGGTTTTTTTATTAATACCTTCAGAAATTCTGACTGGACTACGTCCATTGGATTACAATATATAATCATTGGTTTTCATTGGTTACAGCCAATTTACTTCAATAACTGGACTATAATAATTGGATTTAGCCTAAGTGGTGGCAAGAAGAAAGAAGAAGGAAGAAACTCTGGGTTGGATAGGCCTCTTTAAAGCAGAAATTTATAGGTCAATAGGTGTTCCGCCTTATAAGTTGAACTTATATCGGGAAAATTTATTTAGGAAAAAAGGGTTTATATAAATTAATTGATATACAAATTTAAGTGTATGAGAATTTAGGAGGAGGATCTATTTATATATTTGTTTTATTCAATGCATCATTAGAGGGAAAATATTTTATTGACAGTATAATTGGATTGAACATTTTATTATTTGGACTGTAAACTAAGTATTTGTAATTTGACTACAATGTCCCATACACAAAAGAAAGGAGGGTATGAGGGAACACCGGCAGAGAGGAGAGGCTCAAAACAAGAGTCAGATCTTAAAGGGGAAATTATGAAAATGTTTGCAGAGGTTAATTCCAACATCAAGCAGAGCGAAAAGAATATAGAAGCGAAACTGGAACAAATGGATAAGAGAATGGGCCAAATGGACAAAAAAATTGATGTTACAGTTAATGAATTAAAAGGGCAACTGAAGGACGTGAACAAGAGGACACAGAACCTGGAAGAGGGAATGAAGAAGACAAGAGTGGAAATGAGGGAGATGAGGAAGGAAGAAGAGAGAATATGGGTGGGGATGTCAGAAATTAACAAAACTCAAGAGGAGATCTGGGATGCGATTTCCATGAATGGACTCAGGCAGAGAGAAGTGAATTTAAGATTGAGACTTGTCCCAGAACAGCAAGGAGAAAATATTAAAGAGAAACTAATAAAAGAAATTGCACAATGGATGGAGATGGATATAGAAGAAGTGACAAAATCTGTGCAAAGTGCATTTCGACTGAATACAAGATCAGCCAAGGCAAGAAAGTTTCCAGGAGACTGCCTGATTACTTTTAAGGACAGGGAGATGAGAAACCAGATTCTCCAAAAGAACAGAGAGAAGAGACTGAATATAGAAGGAAATTATATAATTATTTTTAAAGACATCCCGATCAGGCTTCTTAAACAGAGAGACCCATATAAACCAACAGTACAGACTCTAAAAAAGAATAACATTGAATTTAGATGGGAATACCCAGAAGGGATCTCCTTTGTTTACAAAAGTAAAAGACACAGAATCACGAGCCTGGAAGAATTGGGAAAATTTTTGAGAAAATACAAAGAGCTACGAAGCGAGGATGAAGAAACGAGGAGCGGAACTAGGAATGGAGGCTGCAGGAGGAGTGGATCCGGAGGAGTTAGAAAAAGAAAAAAGGAAGGAAGGAAGGAAGGAAGGAAGGAAGGAAGGAAGGAAGGAAGGAAGAAGAAGAAGAAGAGGTAGACGAATTATAAAATTTATAACAAAGAATTCAAAATGGCTAAAATGGAGTTGAATTTATGGACCTGGAACATTAATGGGATTAACGCTAAAAAAAAAACGAAACAAAGTTGAACAACATTTTAAAAAGAAAAATTTGGATATCATATGTCTACAAGAAACACATGTGGCGAGAAGGCATAAAAAAAATCTTAATTAACAAAAGACTGGGAAATGAATTTGTATCTTCAGATAGGAGTAAAAAGAGAGGGGTAGTTTTGTACATCAGGAAAAATATTGAAGCTCAACAAATCTTTAAAGATGAAGAAGGCAGAGTTATGGCAGTTCAAATAAAGTGGCAAGGAGAAAAAATAATAATCGTCGGGATCTACGCACCAAATGGAAACAAAAATCTAGAAGAAAAACTGTTTGAATATATGGATCAGAAAATCATAATAATGGGAGACCTGAATGGAGTGGTGTCAATGGAAATGGACAGATTGAAATCAACTGGAGTGGGTAAAGATGGAAAATTACCTAAGACTTTCTTTTCAATGATAAAGAATTGCAACCTGATTGATATTTGGAGACTGAGACACCCGCTAGAGAAACAATTTACGTTCTATTCTGATCCAAATCAATCTCTGTCAAGAATAGATCAAATTTGGGTCTCAAATGAACTAACCCCAAGAATCTCGAAAGTTGAAATTCAACCAAGAGTGATTTCGGATCATAGCTCAATAAAACTCGAATTAAAGGGTTTCGAAGAAAGAACGTTTAGCTGGAGAATGAACGACTACCTTTTGGACGATCAGAAGATAGTTGAAAATGCTCAAAAATATTTGTCAGAGTACTTTCTGAATAATTGCAATAAGGGAACAAAAATGAACATGGTGTGGGACGCCAGCAAAGCAGTGATGAGAGGTTTCTTTATCCAGCAGAACGCTTTGAAAAATAAGAACAGAGAGAAGAATAAGAAGGAAATATTAAAACAGATAATGGAGAATGAACAAAAATTGATAAAGAAACCGAATAATGAGAAGATAAGACAGACTATAAAGACCCTACAAACACAATTCGCAATGATGATAAATAAGGAAGTAGAAGGGAATATAAAAAGAATGAGACAAAGAAACTTTGAATTTGCGAATAAATCAGGAAAATGGCTGGCATGGCAGATTAAGAAGAGAAAGGAACAGAATACAGTAAACAAAATCATTATCGACGGCACAGAAATAGAAAACCCGAAACAAATTAGAAAAGGATTCTTGGATTTCTACAGACAACTATATAAAAGTAAGGGAAAGAATAATATGAGAAAGATAGAAAGATTTTTAAAAGAAAAAGAAGTGCAGAAGATCCCGACGGAGCAATAAGATTTTTTGAACGCCCCAATTGAAACAGAAGAAATAAAAGAGGTAATAAAGGAATTGAAAAAAGGGAAAGCTCCAGGACCAGATGGGTTTACAGCCAGATATTATAAGGAAATGAGAAGCACCCTACTTATACCATTGAAAGAAGTCATAAACAACATATTAAAGAACTGTGAAATTCCAGAAACATGGAAAGAAGCCTTTATCACACTTATCCCAAAACAAGATTCGGATTTGACACAGTTTAAAAATTATAGGCCTATTTCGCTGTTGAATACTGACTATAAAATCTTTGCGAGTATATTAGCAAAGAGAATGAAAAAAGTATTGCAAGAATTTATACATAAGGATCAAGCGGGCTTTCTTCCTGGCAGACAGATGAAAGATAATATAAGAAACATAATAAATATATTGGAATATCTGGATGCCAGGAATGAAAAACAAGCTATTTTAATCTTTGTGGATGCTGAAAATAATAATCATGGAATTTTATGTTAAAAAACCTAGAGTATATGGAAGTGGGTAAGGAATTTTATAATGGGATAAAGGCAATATATACAGAACAGAAAGCGAAGCTAATAGTAAACAACTATACCATAGAAGATATTAAAATAACCAAAGGTACAAGGCAGGGATGCCCACTGTCGCCACTATTATTCATTATGGTGCTGGAAGTTTTGCTAAAATCAGTAAGAAAAAATGAAGATATAAAAGGGGTGTCTATCGGGAAAAATGAATACAAAGTTAAAGCATTCGCGGATGACTTGGTATTGACAGTAGAAGAACCAGTGGAAAGTATTGAAAGAATCTTAGAAGAAATAGAACAATTTGGTCAAGTTGCAGGATTTTATCTCAACAAAAAAAAAGACGAAAATCATGGCTAAAAACATGAATCAAGAACTAATTGAGGAAATACAACAAAGGACAGAGATAGAAGTGGTGAACAAAGTGAAGTATTTAGGAATATGGTTAACCCCCAAGAACATTGACTTGTTTCAAAACAATTACTTACCTATGTGGAATCAGATAAAAAGGGATTTGGAGGTGTGGGGAAGACTGAAATTGTCCTTTTGGGGGAGAATATCCACGATAAAAATGAGTGTGCTACCAAAGATGTTATTCCTTTTCCAATCATTGCCGATAATTAAGGGGGCATCAATTTTTAAGGAATGGCAAAAATAATTTCAAGATATATCTGGCAGGGTAAGAAGCCAAGGATTCAGTTTAAGTTATTAACAGATGCAAAAGAGAGAGGTGGCTTCGCCCTGCCAGATTTGAAATTATATTATGAAGCATCATGCCTCTGTTGGATAAAGGAATAGATTAAATTAGAGAATGGAGAGCTGTTAGATTTAGAAGGATTTGACAACAGATTTGGTTGGCATGCTTACCTATGGTATGAGAAGAAAAAAATTCACAAAGGTTTTGAAAACCACATCTTCCGAAGATCACTGATAGAGGTGTGGGAGAGGTATAAAAACTTGTTGGAACCTAGACTCCCCCATTGGATTTCACCATTAGAAGTGATGAGTGTGAAAAAAATTAATATGAGGGGGAGGTGGATAACATATGGAGAACTGGTAACAAGAGAGGGGGGGGAAATGGAAAATGAAAACTTATGAAGAGGTGAAAGAATTTGTTTACGACTGGTTACACTACTTTCAGATTAATGAAATGTTTAAAAAAGATTGTAAAATGTGTGGGTATGAAGGTAAAGAATCAAAATTCCAAGTGGAGGTATTGAATAATGAGTATAAAAACCTGTCTAAAATGTATAAAGTGTTGCTGGAGTGGCATACAAAAGATGAAGAGGTAAAAGTAGTAATGATATACTAGGCAAGAGACTTTGGTTACAATATACAGTATGATGATTGGATGAAATTATGGAATGAAAGGCTAAAATTTACGGCATGTACTGCGTTGAAAGAAAATGTAATGAAAATGTTTTACAGATGGTATATAACGCCAGTTAAACTGGCCAAAATGTATAAAACATGCAATAAGTGTTGGAAATGTAAAGAAAAAGAAGGTACTTTCTATCATATGTGCTGGGAGTGTAAAAAGGCGAAAGACTTCTGGGAAATGATATACAATGAATTGAAAAAGATGTTGAAATATACGTTCATTTAAAAACCAGAAGCCTTTCTATTAGGAATGGTAGGAAACGAAATCAATAAGAGAGACTGTAAACTGTTTCAATATGCAGTGACTGCCGCAAGGATACTTCTGGCCCAAAGATGGAAACAGGAAGAAATTCCAACAGTGGAAGAATGGAGAAGGAAATTGACCGAATATGCAGAATTGGACAAATTGACTGGGAAGATCCGATACCAGAAAGACCAAAAGTTTATCGAGGACTGGGGGAAATTTACAGAATATCTGAAAAATATATGTGATGTACAGACAACGCTTGTTGGTTTTGAAGAGACTCTGTGAAATAGTAAGAAATACTGCAAAAAAGAGAGTAAGAGGAAAAGGAGTGGGGAAAGGCAATATCATGTTTAGAAATGCGTCAATAAATAGAAATTTTTCGAAAGATTGACAGAGAAACTGAGGGAAGTCAAAAATTGAAGCATGAGTGTAAAACAATTTGTTGATTGTATAAAACTTGTTTGGAAAATGAATAAAAATTATTTTTTTTAAAAAAAGAAAAGTCCGCAACTAGAGTGGCGCTTCTGCGCAAGTGCGAAGCACGATAGAGCACTTTTGCACATGTGTGAAGCGCACAGAACGCTTCTGCGTGTGCGGCAAAACCCAGAAGTATACAGGTGAAACTCGGAAAATTAGAATATTGTGGAAAATTTCATTTATTTCAGTAACTCAACTTAAAACGTGAAACGAATATATGAGATAGACTCATGACATACAAAGCGAGATATGTCAAGCCTTTACTTCTTTTAATTGTGATGAATATGGTGTACAGCTGATAAAAAAACCCAAATTAACAATCCCAGAAAATTAGAATATTGTGAAAAGGTGCAGTAGCTATTCAATCCATAACACCTGCAATGGGTTCAGTAGGAAGCACAATCATGGGGAAGGCTGCTGACCTGACAGTTGTGCAGAAAGCCATCATTGAGACCCTCCATAAGGAGGGAAAGCCTCAAAGGGTAATTGCAGAAGAAGTTGGATGTTCCCAAAGTGCTGTATCAAAAAGCACATTAATGGAAAGTTATGCGGAAGGGGAAAGTGTGGAAGAAAAAGGTGCACAAGCAGCAGGGATGACCACAGCCTGGAGAGGATTGTCAGGAAAAGACCATTCAAATGTGTTGGGGACTTTCACAAGGAGTGGACTGAGGCTGGAGTTAGTGCATCAAGAGCCACCACACACAGAAGGATCCTGGAGATGGGCTTCAAATGTCATATTCCTCTTGTCAAGCCGCTCCTGAACAAGAAACGACGTCAGAAGCATCTTGCCTGGGCTAAAGAAAAAAAAAGAACTGGTCTGTTGCTCAGTGGTCCCAAGTCCTCTTTTCTGATGAGAGCAACTTTTGCATCTCATTTGGAAACCAAGGACCCAGAGTCTGGAGGAAGAATGGGGAGGCACACAATGCCAGATGCTTGAAGTTTAGTGTGAAGTGTTGATTTGGGGAGCCATGCCATCAGCTGGTGTTGGTCCACTGTGCTTCATTAAGTCCAGGGTCAACACAGCCGTCTAGCAGGAGATTTTGGAGCACTTCATGCTTCCTTCTGCAGATGAGCTTTATGGGGATGCTGACTTCATTTTCCAGCAGGACTTGGCACCTGCCCACACTGCCAAAAGTACCAAAACCTGGTTCAATGCCCATGGGATTACTGTGCTTGATTGGCCAGCAAACTTGCCTGACCTGAACCCCATAGAGAATCTATGGGGCATTGCCAAGAGAAAGACGAGAGACATGAGACCTAGCAATGCAGAACAGCTGAAGGCTGCTATTGAAGCATCCTGGTCTTCCATAACACCTCAGCAGTGCCACAGGCTGATAGCATCCATGCCACACCGCACTGAGGCAGTAATTGATGCAAAAGGGGCCCAAACCAAGTACTGAGTACATATGCATGCTTCTACTTCTCAGAGGTCCAGTATTGCTCTATTTGCAGTCCTTGTTTTGCTGATTTCATTTAATATTCTAATTTTCTGAGATTGTTAATTTGAGGTTTTCATCAGCTGTACGCCATAATATCACAATCATAACAAATAAAGGCTTGACATATCTCGCTTTGCATGTCATGAGTCTGTCTCATATATTAGTTTCACCTTTGAAGTTGAATTACTGAAATAAATGAACTTTTCCACGATATTCTAATTTTTCGAGTTTCACCTGTACACTTTTGGGTTTGCCGTGTTCGCAACCCCAAAATCCGCAACATGAAGCGAATGCAACTAGAGGTATGACTGTACTTATATACTGCTTTTACATACAAAAAAATTGGCGAAATGTATATAGCATGATTTTCAAAAGTTATTCGTTAAAGTGGACTACAATTAAAGGAAAAGAAAGTCGCAATTGTTATTTTTTAAATCACAACAGCAACAGAAGAAGATAAAACACACATACACACATGCACATAAAAACATCCCTGAAAAGTTTTGACAGCTTATTTAAAAGGGTCATTCTCTAGGACTGACTGTTCTGAAGCTGGAAACAGATTCCAGGGTTTAGGTACCACCACCAAAGAGTTACTGGTACTGCTTGGTATTATCTGCTAACCTGACCGATGAATTGGATGGGACAGCCATGAGTGTAGAAAGCAAGTATTAAGTAGACAATGTGTTCAACTTCATCTGTACCTCTGGGGAATTGCGGTGGGCTATAGACATCTGAATACTCACAAGCTGCAAAGGACAACATATTTCCTCCCGTCTTCTAGGCTCTTCCTCCCCCTACTCTGCTAAGCACACAGGAGTCATCTTTTCTAGGGGAAAGACTCTGAATCCTGTGAGATTCGCAAAGGGGGGGGGGGGTTAGGGAGGCGGGAAAGGAGCCAGCCAATGAGTTCCTGCAAGATGGGAGGTTGGATTTTGGGGAACAGATTTAAGATGATAAGAAAAGACTGCTGGATCAGGCCAGCGGCCCTTCTGGTGCAGCATCCTGTTCTCACAGTGGCCACCCAGTTGCCCCAATGGGAAACCCACAAGCAGAACCTAAGCAAACGGAGCAACTCTCTCCTTCCTGGGGTTTCCAAAAACTGGTGTTCAGCAACATCACTGCTTCAAACAGTGAAGGCAGAGCACAGGCATTTTTTCATGGTCAGGTGAGCTAGGATATAAAAGCTCATGTGGTCTTTAAGGTATCCTCGACTCATATTGCTCTGCACTGTATGAAGCACTTCCTTGCATGTCCCTGAATCGACCACAATGCAAATCTACGGCAGGATGAACCAAGGTAGTGCCCTCCAGAATGTTGTTGGATTCCAGCTTCCAGCAGCCCCGGCCAGGATGGCCAGTGGTCAGGGATGATGGGAGGCAGGAGATGAGCAGCATCCAGAGGGCAACACATCAGCTACTCCTGATCTACGGTCTTGGAATATATAAACCCCTAAGGGGGATTCCCCTGCTCTTCCCACCAGAACCAAGCACAGGGGGTTTTTTGCCCATGAAGAAGTGTGACGATAAGTTTAGGAAAGATTACCTGGCCAAAGAGGTTCCCGCTGGTGTTGGTCGCTTGCCTGAACATAGGGCCTGGGCTGCTTGAGCCAAATGCTGGACATGGGAGAAAAAGAAAGAAAAGAGGGCAGGGAGAAAGAGTCAGCATTTAGACACAAGACAAATGAGGACTGCTGGACTAGAACCAAAGATATGAGTTTGAGGGGAGGAGTCAGTCTGGATGATGCCAGGAGTCCTTTCCAAGTATTGGGATCCTGTGTCTGGGGCAGAATGCATGAGAGCAAGCTTGCCAAGCCAGTCCCTTTGTCCAGGCTAGGGGTTGCCAAAGTGGGAAGCTGTTATCACTGGATCAAGTTCATCAATTTTGTTGAATTAATTAACCTAAATATATTTGTCTTTTGAATAACTCTGCCATTGATTAACACAGTGTTTTGAATTCCACTGTGTTGTCAATGCCCTTGGTGAATCATGCAAATTCTGAATAATGCTTTTTATAGGGTAGGGAGCACTGGGGATGAGTTTATGGAACCAAGGGGGAAGTGGCCTGAAAGACTTTGGGAACCACTGGACTGTGCTAGCTGAGGCTGATGGGAGCTGTAGTCCAAACAGCCAGGTTAGCTGGGAGATACAATCCAAAGTGTCTAGAGGAGAACAGGTCAGTGAAGGAGACCACAGAATATAGACTTGCATGTGCAGAATGAGGAGGCCTTGCTAGAAATGCCACTGCCATGTCAAGTTTGTAGGAGGTGCATTGATGTGTGGCAGGCTATGGAACCTCCCCTCTTACGAGTTGAGTGTGGCCCCTCCTTGTATAATTTTTCACAAAAATGTACTTCTTTGCCCAGGTCTTTTGAGAGGAAGTGGGGAGGAGAGAGGAGGACTGTGCCATAGCTCAGTGGGGTTGAGCACCTGCTTTGCATGCAGAAGGCCCCAGGTTCAATCCCCAGTCATATCTCTGGGAAGGGCTGGGAAAGACTCCCTTGCCTGAGATGTGGGAGAGCTGTTGCCAGCCCATGTGGACACCACTGATCACCTGATCAGTATATGGTAGCTTCCTACATTTAGTGATGTCATCTGGACGCCCCCTATTGCGGTGCTCTTGCTGGCCTTGATTGCTATGCAAAATGGTTTTAATTGTGGGTTTAGTGATAAGCACAGCATGGCCTCAACATGTTACATTAAGCCAGGATAGGCAACGTGGTGCCCTCTGTACATGAATGAGCTTCAACTCCAATCACCTCGCCTTTTCTCCCAAAAAAGCAAAAATACTGAGCAATGCTGAGGTTCTAAAATCTTGAAGGAATTAAAAAAGCCTGGATTTCCATTAAATACATCTCAAAATGGCAGCAACTGCTAAATGAGTCCCAGCCAAGGACTCAGATTTCCTTTGTGCAAGAAGGATCTGGAGCTGTGTTAATCACCTGTTCCCGTGAAAAGATAATGAAATGTTTGTATTAAAAAGAATTCCCCTGCTCACTTCAAAATGCACACCCTGCCATCAAAACTAAGGCACTTTCCTGTAATTAAGGCCCCTTTCCTGTAGGCAGGGCTCACTTATGCCTTTTAAAGATATTTTGTCCCAGTAATTAGCAGGGTGGGAGGGGGGGGGGTGTTCTTTCTTAAATGTGCATCTTGTATATTGAAACCTACTTAGTTTTCCACCTTTGGGCACTGTGATCCATGGGGAGAGCTCCCTCCGCCCCATCCCCCTGCTGTGCTTCTGGGGAGTGGAATGTCTTGATGGATCATGCCCTGGGCTTCCCCCATCACCTTTCCTGTACATTACAGGGGCCTCCAGGCAGCAACTGCATTTCCAATTCTTTCAGTGAGAAAACTAAAAATGTCCCGGATCATTGATATTTCTTCTGAAAACTTGAGGTTTTTCAAGTCACCTTTAAATTTTTGTGGGATACCATTTAAGGTGCCACAGGACACCTCATGGGAACACAGGAAGAACACCAGAAGCTGTCTTATTTGGAGTCAGATCACCGGTCTTTCAAGCTCAGTATTGTCTACACTGACTGGCAGTGGCTCTCCGGGATTTCAGGCAGGGAGTCTTTCTCAGCCAGCCCTGGAGATGCTGCTAGAGAATGAACCTGGGACCTTTTGCATGCAAAGCAGATGTTTCACCAATGAGTCATGGACCTTTCCCTTAAAAAATAAAGCAAGAATCTAGTCCGCATGGATCTGAATGAAGGGCTGAATTGAACAGAACCATAGGATGCTGTCTTATAACTGAGCCAGGGCACTGGGTTCAACCAGCTCAGTATTGTCCACACTGAGTCTCATCGACTCTCCTGACCCAACATGGAGATTGTAGGTACTGAAGCTGAGACTTTCTGCATGCAAGGCAGTCCCTCTGCCACTGAGCTACGGCTCTTTCCTCTCCCGCTTAACCCATTACCCTTGGTCCCTGCACATGCCTTCTTACCTGAAGCTTGACAGAAACTGAATCCAGCCAAGGATGTTGGGGTGGCGGCGGCGACCGCGCCCCCCAAAATGGATGCCCCCTGCCTGAAGATGGAACTCTGCCCCAAAGCCAGGGTGCTGCTTTGGCCAAAGAGGCTGGTGCCTGCAGTGGCCGCAGGCTGTCCAAAAGTGAAGGAGCTGGTGGTGCTTGTGCTGGATGGTGCCCCGAAGACGCTCCCACTGCTGGATGCAGGGGTAGTGGAAGAAGCCATCTGCCCAAATGCAGGAGCAGCCCCAAAGGCTGCCTGGTTGAAGGTGAACCCACTTGATGTGCTGGCTGGCTGGCCGAAGGTGGGGGCTTGGCCAAAGGCTGGCTGAGCAAAGCCTGTGGAGGTGGTGGCACCACCAAATGCTGATATACTGAACCCGGGAGTTGCAGCCTGTGTGGTGATGGTGGAGGTGGATGGTGGCGGGGTGGCAGGGGGTTGGTTAAATGGAGAAGGCGGCACTGCAGAGAGCTGGCCAAAGATGGGTGGCATGGAAGGGGTCACTAAAGCCTCAGTTGCAGGTTGGCTGAAGGCTGAGCCAGAAGAGCAGGTGGCGGGGGGCGGTGCAAACACAGAAGGGGGCGAGACATTGACTGTGAACGCAGAGGTGCCAGTGGCCGGGGCCTGAATGGATGCACTTGGGCTACAGGAAGCTGGAAGCACTCTGGTCACTTCGGCAGGCTGAGAGGCCATGCTTGCTGAAGGCAAGGTTGCTGGGGTGTGCTGGTCCAGAGATGTTGCCACAGAAACCACCTCAGCCTTTGAATCAGTAGGAGAGGTGGCGGGAATGGCTTCTTTGGCAGGTGCTACTGTTCCCGCTGCTGCCACAGCAAGACTGATTGCATCCACCTCTTCCAACGAAGGTGTGGCCAGAGCAGTAGGATCTCGAGGAGGTTCTGGAGTATGGACCTGGGGCTGGGGCAGCAGCTGCATTGCTCCAAGCTTGCTGGCATCACTCTGAGGCAGCTTCGCAGGGCCTGGGGAGGTTCTGGCATCTTCCTCTCCTTTACCCGTTGGTGTGGTGGCCACAGCAGTTGGAGCTGAACTCAACAGACTTCCGAATGACAGAGTAGCGGTTGCTGCTGGTGCAGAAGAGGGTGTTGCCGTTGCGGCATTTGCTGACTGAACCCCAAGTGTGAAAGTTGACTTGGCACCCCCTGCAGGCACTCCGAGGCCAAGGAGAGCAGGAGATCCTGTGTTGACCAATTGGACATTGCTGAAGATGGTGCTAGCAGACGTTGATGTTAAGCTGGTTGTTATCACAGAGGCAGCCGCCTCTGTTGGTTTGCTGACCTGCAAAGAGCTTCCAAGAGTAAACCCAGAAGGTATTGTGCTCGCTTTTGCTGGCTGTCCACCTGTGGCATTAACAGGTGGAGGTTTGGTAGTGGCAGCCTTGGAATTCTCATTGGCTTGACCGACTCTCAACCCAGAGAAGCTCCCAAGGGTCTCCCCAGCAGCGGTGCCCTGGAAGAGGTGATCTCCTTGTTTCAATGGAAGCCCTTCCAGTTTCCCAGAGGTTGAGAAAGGGACGGAGGCCACAGGGGCTGAGGTCACCTGGCTGTTTGCCAGGCTTGGATCTCCTGAGCCACTGCTTGTCATGGGGACTCCCAGAAGACTGGATGCTTTTGCGGACCCAAAAGTGAAGGAGCTCTCCAGAGGGGTTCCAAATTTAACGTTCCCGCCAAAGGGAAAGGCATCAGGCTGGCTTAGCTGTTTTGGAGGAGAAGGTATTGCTGCCAAGGCACAAGAGAAAGACACAAAGCAAACAAATTTCAAAGGTAAGGTTCACTGATCACTACCACCCAGCTCCAAAGCAGCATAAACCCTGGAATTCATTTTTTTTTTTTTAAAAAAAGATATTTATTAAGAATTTTAAAATTACAGAAAAAACAAAAAAGAAAGAGAAAAAACAAAGGAAAAACAAACCACAATCAAACAATACAAATTGATAAAAATCAAAATAAAAAAATAACGACAAAACACGTAACAGAGCACAATCAAAAAGTAAAAATAAGCCACAAAAGTTTAAAAAACAAATCCAATATTCTCAAATCCTTAACTGTCATTGCCTTCTTTCATTGACCTCCTCACTCCTCCCTTTTTTTGTATCCTAGTTATTAATTGTCACAGCAAATCCTTTCCATATTTCATAATATTCTGTCATTACATTACCTTAATCTATTTTAATCTTATCTTACTATAAAAGACCTTAAAACTTAAAACTTAGATCTTATTTATACCAATTTCTCCTAACCATAATATTCTTACATAATTCTTTAAACATTTTTACTAAAGCCAAATAATTTCATTCCAACATTTTTCTAACGTTCATCAATTTTATAAAACAATCCTAATAAAAAAATAATTTTTTTCCCTTCCAATCTTCATCCAGCATCTCTTCCTCCTGGTCCCGGGTTTTGTCAGTCCTTTCTATCCCATCAATCTAGCGCATTAACCTGGTAATCTTATGTCCGAGGCCCTTAAGTCCCTTCCATGTCCCATCCACAGTTCTTCTTCATATTTATACCTGTACTTTACTTTGTCTCCTGCTCCTTTCACTCGTGGGAACTCCAACTTAACAGTGTTTCTGACCCTTCTCGACAAATCAGCCCCTTTTCCATAGTCCACACTAAACTCCATGTGGTATTTAAAAACATGTTTCAAAGTCCCTCCAGAATTAAGAGCCCCCACAACCCCAAACATCTCACGGCCCATTGCCAGACTTGAAAAGTCCAAACATCCCTGCATAGGGGGGTCTATCCAACCCCCCATTTCCAAACCAAACCAAACTTTATCTTTCCAAATCTGGCTTTTCCAAGTTCATTTGTCAAATCCAAGAACTCATGTTCCTGCTGGGCCACAGCTCCCTCCATCTCTGGCGCCCAAGGTTCAGCAGCATCCTCTTCCCTCATCTGTTCTGTCAGAGCACACTCCTGATTTGATTCCTGGGTGGGCTCTATATAGTTTCCCACTACCTGTCCAAAATTTCTGATCGCAACAGTCATCAAGTCCGTCTTCTCATGTAGCTGTTCCAGTAGGGCACTTGTTTTACAGAAAGCACGCAGCAGAGCTTCTGAGTACATTGTTCTGCAAGGTCAGAAGTCTATTCCCACGATCGTAATCTATTGCAGCTGCAAGCTCCCCGGTTCAGAATTGGTAACAGTTTCACAGGCTCCCTCTAGGGGAAGAGCTTCTATTTGTTCTTTTCTTTTAAAGGCAGATCTAACAACAAAGTTTCCTTTTTCAGATATTTTGTCAATATTTGTTCCTTTAAAATGCGAAGGGGAACAATGGAATCACTATGTTTCTCTTCTTTTAACTATCTGTCAAAGACGTTTGTCTCTAGTCAATGAGCTTCCCAAAGAACGTCAGTCCTGACACCCCGCTCCAGGATCAAGACGGTGGAAAGTTACTTTGCGTTACACTCTCTTCTGCAGGTTTAAACAGTCCGGAAAAAATCCCCCGTCTTCTCCTGCTTCCGAAGGGGGTTCAACAATTTTAAATGATGAAAGTTAATCCTTTACAGGCGATTTTCTGAACTCTAGTTTGCCATGTCTTTGCTTTAATCTATCTACAAGAAACGGAAGGCTGACTTCCTGTTTAGACCTTCCCGTTTCAGTGCCAAATTGAGGTAAATTTCTTAGTCCAATTTTCCTTTCTACTCGCTAATCATTATTTGAAGTCCAATTGTCCGAAATTTAAGTACTCACGGGTAATTGTTTTAAAAGCCAAATTGTCCCAGGAAAAAGGCAGCGCTCTCTGGCAACGGCTGTGCAGCTTCGCTCCACGGAAGAAGCAGTTGACTCTCAGCACCGCGCCACTTCCCCCTCTTCACTCCGGAGCCCGTTAGTGGGTTCCTTTGCGGGTTGGGGGGGGCGCTAAAGGTGCCCGCCGAGTCCCATGGTCACAGGCTTCATCCGCCTGTGATTTTTGAAAGGGTCCCCGCTTCGCCGTAGCGGGAAAGACCCGTTTCCCGTGGAGCTGGTCCCTCCAGATCAGAGGGAGTCCGCCATTGCCGATGGCGCCACCCCGGAAGTCTTGGCCTGGAATTCATATCTCAGAGGTAGATCATCTGTTTTGCCTGCAGAAGGTCCCAGGTTCAATCCCAATCAGCATCACTAGGCAGGGCTGGGAGAAACTCTGCCTCAATCACTGGAGAGTCACTGCCAGTCAGTGCAGACAATACCATGCTAGGTGGACCCTAACAGCTCAACTCAATCAAAGGTAGCTTCCTATGTCTCTCTGCTTAGTTTGTTGAGTTGTGTGTTGTTTGGTTTAACCTCCAAAACCTTTTCTCCTTCCTCTTCCAGACCATCAGTTCCACAGTCTGTTACATAAACCACCCACCAACTTCTGGCAAACTGCAGCTATAGATCAAGTCAACCAGGTATTCCCAATCTCTTGAAACATTTGCTTCTGTTTACTCCTTTCCTGAAGACAGGAGTGCCTGGCGTGCTCTGGTCCATGGGGTCACAAAGAGTCGGACACGACTAAACGACTAAACTACATTCCTTTTCTACTGCATATATCCAGGGAGGTTTATGTTTAGTGGCAGAGCTTAGTGGTAGAGCATATTCTTTGCATGCAGAAGAGCCTAGGTTCAACATCCAGCATACCCAGTTAAGAAAAAGGCCATCAGGCAGCAGACTACAGGAAAGGGCCCTGAAGAGCTTCTTCTTCTCAAGAATTAACAAGACTGGATTAAATGAGGAATGATGGAAGCTTTGGCCCTCCAGATGCTGTTGAGCTTTATCATCCCTGACTGCTATGGACATGCTTGCTGGGCCTGATGGGATTTGTGGTTCAGCAACATCTGGAGGGCTAAAGGTTCCTTATCCCTGGATTAGAGAGGGAAGGAGATGTGGCTGTACCAGCAGGACTAGAGAAGTTGTTTTTTTCCAGCCTGAGGGCCATGTTCTCTTCAAAATGCACACCCCATTTTAAAACAAAAACTCACCTTCTACTGGAGGGACAGATGTTGCAAGATTGGAGAGGATTGCATCAAGGTTAACTTCAGGACTAGAAGACAAAACAAAAACATTAATGTACAATATTTGGCCTTTTCGAAAAGGGAATCAGAAGGTTTGCGGGGGGCGGGGAGGGAAGAAGGTACACGTGTATACACTACATATTTGTTTCAGTTAAACATCATGGCTCTCACTAATGGGAAGTATAGTTTGGTAGGATGCCAAGAGTTCGCTACCTACCTGCACTATGCATTGTCTATTAACACTGTGTTGCTTTTTTTTTTTTTTGTGACTCTATATGCCACCCAAGTATGCGTCAGTGAGTGGCCAAACAGATCTAGTCATCATAATAATTTCTTAAAAAGAGAATCCTGTTTAACAGCTGTGCCACCGGCCTCCGGGTTGGTGCCTCCGGCAATGGCGGAATTCCTCTGATCGGGAGGAATTTGCCCTGTGGGAATTTGGGTCTGTACCGCCACGGCGAAGGCGGAGACCCGTAAAAATCCCAGACGGGAGAAGCCTGTGAACGTGGGATTCAGCGGGCACCTTTTGCGCCTTCCCTACTCGTGGGGAAACCCGGTTTCAGGGATCCGGAGCGATGTGGGGTGAGTGGCGCAGTGCTTTGAATCGTCTGCTTCTTCTACGGAGCGAAGCCGCATAGCTGTTGTCGGAGAGCACTTTTTCCTGCGGACAATTTGACTCTAAAGTAATTACCCGTGAGTAGAGCTGAATTGGGAAGAATTGGATTTTTAAACGTTTAATCTGGCATCGAAACGGGGAGGTTCAATACAGGAAGTCCGCCTCCCTCTTTTGTAGATTAAGTGAAGCAAGGAGACTGCAAGCTAAAGTCTTGGAAAGCCTTTTGTAAAGGACTAAATTTCCATCGGTAAAGAACTAAATCTCCCCCTTTTGGAGGCAGGAGAAGAGGGGGGAAGTGGTGGACTGAATATGCCTGTAGGAGAGAGTTAAGAGAGTTAAAATACCGCCGCTCTGACCCTGGAAACGGGCTGCTAGCAGGATTGATGTTTTTTGGAATGTCCATTGACAGCGTTTAGAACGTTCATTGACAGGTAGCTAATCAAGAGAATACATTGTTTCTACTGTCTCCGGTTGTTTTTAAAAAAGGAGGAAAGTAACTGAAAATTGAAACTAACTTTGGATTATTGAAACTGTGTTTAAAAGAGGACATACTGACCGATACAAATACAACCTGTTTTCCCCTAGTGGAAGCTTTTGAAATTGGTTACTTTATAGGAGCTGGGCTAGGGGAATTTCCAGCTGCAAGATAAAAAGTGTGAGACTTTGGAATTGACCTTGAATCTCTTAAGTGTTATGGCAAACGGAAAGGAAAAAACAGACGGGATGTCGACAGAGGAGGCCTTAGTGGCTGCATTATTGAAAATAAGCGATTCGCTGGAACAACTCCACAAGAAAACAGATGCGATAAATGTGAAATTGGATGTTGCAAATATTGAAATTGATTTAATTGTAGAAAGTTCAAATAACTTAGGACAAATGGTGAATACCAATTCAGAAACCACCCAGAAACTGACACAGGAATCTACTCTGATACGGCAAACTGCAGATGAAGTCAGGGAAAAAACCCTTGCTGCTGAATCTAAAGTAATACAA